AGTGGTTTAGTCAACAACTTTAACCACTCTGCCAAGGAGGCCTCTTGGAACATTAGAAGAAAAACTTTTACTCTGAGATTGCAGCCTAGGTTTGACTTAATTGTCATTATTGTGTAATTATATTTATATAATGCAATCATTGTGATCATTATCAAGGCTTTCATTCCTGAATGTTAGAGAAAAAGTTCTTTTGTAGAAAAATGTTATATTGAATGTAAAAATGCATATACTTCTTCAAATTATGTTGTTAAGTATGATTATACGTTAATGGCTTAATGATCAACGTTAGTATAAATGATGTACAAGTTGAAGAGTAATGTTAACTTTTTTATGGAATCTTACACTTGTTACCACTATAGACAGGACTATTTAAATACTAGTTAACATAGAGCTAAATATTCCCCTCAGAAATGGCAGCAAATGTTTGATTATTTTTCTTGTGTACTTTGTGTATTGTGTTACTCTATCATCCATGTATAAAGAAGGAAAATAAGTAATGAAAAGTAATATAGTCATTTAGTTATATTTTAGTTCAATTGAACGGTGAGGTATTTGGAAATACAACAATGCAAAGCACCATGAAATGCTTCCCATGACGTATTTAATTAAGTCTTATGTAGAAGTAAAACTGTATAACTCTTTATAAAATGATTACAAAAATTTATATCACAATATTGCAAACCTTGAAGGCAACTGAAGACACTTCTTGGTGGACAACATTTGTTATACATGTAGAATATTTAGGACACAACCGGAATATATTTGAACAAGTATAGGGAGAAACCATAATGGACAAGCCACAAAAAATGTCCCATATTGTGCTGAGCAATTCAATGCAGTATGGTTTTATTATTGACCCTTAAAGATCGTTCAGCACGACATTATTGTTGTGTTTGTAGTATTTTTAGTTGCAACTTTACGGCATTTTCTAGTTGGGTGGTTCCAATATTCCTACTTGAATAATGTTGAATCACCCTTAGGATATGTTGCCTGCTTTTTAAATTTGTCTTTTGACGTCTTATATGTGATACGCAGGCTTCATAACCTCTGATCCCCTTTCAAAATTCCATTTTATTTAGTTCCGCCCATTGTTTTCTCGTTTAGGGCACACGCTTTTTATTACTCGGGGACCATACGCCGCTTTTCATGGAATGGCACGGAAGTGTCACATTGAAGGTTCCATGATAACCGCCGTATGAATACATCTGCGGATGTTTCTAAATTCAAAATTTTACTATTTCATGTTTAAATGTTGAATTCTGCTTAAGCCGGTGCTAGGGGCGTGGACGGTAGTTTGCACTTGACAGTACCGTTCATGAACAGGCTCAATCAAACCGAGCCTGCAACATTTTCAATTTTGCCGCGTTGGGCTTTCTTTAGGGATTCTGTATTTATCTATTTTATGATCACATTCGTGTTATTTGTGCCGTGTGGCGGCTGTAAAAAGAGCCGCAACATTTTCAATTTTGCCGCGTTGGGCTTTCTTTAGGGATTCTGTATTTAAATTCTAATTTTATTAAAAATCATTCAGTCCAGGTATATACTTTTTTGTCACTAATTGGTGTTTAATTCTGAAGCAGTATGTAGAAAGGGTGAGGCACTAATGTTCCATAACTTTACATAAAACATTTGTATTTATTTCGTAAATTAAACAAGCATTTATGACAGAAATATATTTCAACCCGTAGACAGACAGACAAACAAGACTGACTAAGAAAACCAACATTAAATGACGCCAAGTAAGTCCCATATCCTACAGAACAATTTCATTATCAGTAATGAAGAAACAGTGTTCATTCTGAAAGAGAAAAGGTCAGCAACACTGTAGTAATAAATTTTGGATGTTGCATAGAAAGGTAATAAATATTTGTGTCCAACAATCATAGGTTGAAGTTATATAACAGTGGATTTGATATAAATCTTCGAGGACCCAAGCAGGGAGCAGCACAGACTAACCACCCAATCAATACATAACAACGAGCTCCACTTAGGTGGCGGTAACATAAAACAAATTTAAGAAATAAAATTGATGGATAGCAAAAAGGACTAATCAAAGTATGAACGATATTTCATTAAGATATAAAATATTGAAGTTTTCTGCTGACAGCAACTAGGAATGACAACTATAATTAATTCTTCGAAAAAAGTATTATAAGATTGAATGTTTACTAAGAATTATAATCGGTAACCTAGTTTGAATATTATTTTATTTTCATTATTTAAAGTTAAAAAAACCTGAAACTAATTAGTTTGGAAACAAAAGTTCATTATATGGATGTTTCACCTTAAAGTCAATCAAGAGTATATAAAGTGTTTAATTTCAACTGAGACTTGGAATAACTAATATATATAATATATCAGTTCAATGAAAACAAATGCTTTTCTACATTTTTTCTTTCAACGGGTTAGTCTTCTCTCAGTAAACTTTTTTTTTAATTAAGAAAATTAGTCATTGGCTAAATTTTGACTGCCAATATTAATAAAACAGTAAACAAAGAAAATAAGCTGATACAAGAAATTTAGTTCTAAAAATATTACTGACATTCAACAGTATCTTATATCAGCTGGTATTTGTACATGATTATTTCTCCTTTATTTCACATATTTTCATTATAATACAGGAATTTTACATTAGATTAAATATAAAGATATTTAAAATCAATAACAATCACGTCAGTTTTCTAGATTTTGTTTATTTTTAAAGTGTTTGATAAAACATATTAAAATCTTTATGAAAAAAAAACAACAACAAAAAACAGGATAAATAAAGAAAATCCATCATTTACTGTGAATTAACTTAAATTTTGTGGACATGAAATTTCGTTGCTTTTGTCATAAAGAACAATTATTTTTGTGGGCACTTAAATTTGGTGGACGTTTATTTTTTCCAAAAAGGTAAAATGTAAATAATGGTGATGCAATATAATCTTACAGCAGACAAAATGAAAAATTTCGTTGAATCTTTTTAATTCATGGATTGACCTATCCAAGAAAATAAGTGCACAAAGTATAATAATGATTTTGCATGTATTTGTCATCTGCATGCTAAGTTTTGAAACTCAAATAAATAAACTCCTCGCACTTCACTAAATATTATGATCATCAATCTGAGCACTAAATTGGTAAATGTAAAATGTACATTTATGCATTACATTGACCAATTGTTCAGGATTGGCATTGCTTAGTAAAAAACAAACATTTTGAACACAACTGAAATCTTGTAGGGTAGTGTTGTCAGTCATTATCATCATCACTATCACTATCAGGGGTCTGCAATTCCTTCTTCCTTCCTTTTCTTTAATTTGGCAATCAATTCTGTAGGGGAGATAAAGTTTCTGATATATAAAAAGCTTGAAAGAACAATTTAACAATGTAAATACTCAATTGGAGGAGGCATACTTTTTCATCATTGTAAAGTTGAGCTAAAATCACCTCTCTATAAACATCTGAATGTCATATTTTTTCTTCAAGTTCTTGTTTGATTAAATGCAATAAAAGTTTCAGAAGCATAGAAATGTTCACAATTCCATGTGTTTGCTACATGTTTTCATTGGCTTTTTAAAACAACTTTTACAGAATGAAATATTCTAATTAACACATCTTTTTATTACAAAATCTGTCAATAGATGACAACACAACTTATCTAACACTGCACACAGTTAAAGGAAGACAAAACTATGAAAGATCAATTATGATATAAATATAGTTTATGTATCAGTATCACGACAGCACTCAATGTTCACATTTCCGCATCATAAACAAACATTTGACCATATAAAAAAGTTTGAACAGAAATTTTATGCTCTTCATAGCACATGTTTTAATCATTCACAGCTGCCATTACTTTTGTGGATACAATAACCTATTTGACATTGTGTATTACCTTTTTGCCGGGTTAAATACTCCATGGTCTGTCATTACAAACCAAAACATCTCTGAGACTTTTTGTACTGGGCAAATGCACACTTTTCACAAAAATGTTTACATCTACATAAATAGAAACAACAGAATACATCAACAAATGCTCAACATCATGATAAAATAAAAATTCTACTTAGATATGGTTTATAAATTTTTGACAACAAATAAGCATACACTAAAACTGAAGCAAGTTTAAAGAGGTAAACAAAGGCAACTGCTTGACTATTCTCTTTATTTAATGTAAAATAACGACTTTCATAATGTAGGTATCAACAAAGAGAGGTTTTTGGGATATTGACCTTAGAATTAACACATGTACACAAAGGGCCATAAATCAGTCAAAATTCAAGTCAAAGTTATAGGCCTTACAGGCTTAGACATTTACTTCCAATTCTGGTCATCAATATACATGTATCTAGATTCAAGTGAATACCTTCTATAGTTTTGAAGTGACATCCATATATCCCTATGTAGATTAATGATAGTTCATGATAAGGATATTTCGCTGTGTGTCTCGTAATATGATTTGCATTTACATACATATTATGTATGAAACTTAACAAATTATTTGCTGATGGTGATCCATTTGTAGTTCAACATCATCAAATACTTCAAGTAGTATTAAAAAAAATGTCCATGTTAACTATAACCAGAATTTTTTAAGACACAAAGGGCAATAAATCTGTCAAAATTAATGCTAGAGTTATGGGCCTTGGATAATGACCTCCCATTATGATCTCAAAGACCTGTGTGAACTTGCACACAAAATATCTTAAGTAGTTCATGAGTTGAACAAGATGCTGCATGTAAAACATTAACCAAAGTGTTACCCTGAAGCTGACATCACATTTAGTAGGATCATTTTACATAGCACACCGAGTTATGTTTATCAAAAATCATACAATGGTGTATGCCCTCTTTATTTTATCACTTAATTAATGCATGTTTTTTCACCTTAAATGTACACCTTCATTTGCAGTTTATGTTATTTTAAGAGTGTCATTGATGATATTTTTAACTGACTGAAGTCCCATTAAAAATGGTATTCAATTGCACATTGCATATTTATAAGTGGTTAAAATATGGAACATTCTACCCATCAAATAGATGAATATAAAATCTAGTCAATATCATTATACTTACTTTGTAATGACAGGGTTAACAAAAGATTTTCTACATATAAAACATCTGAAAGGGAGCTCATCCTCGTCGCTACTGATCTCGTAATTCTCCTCCTCTAAAACAAACAACTTCCTAACATTACTATACTGGTTACATGTCATCAAAATCACAAATTTTATCATATCCCTAAATGTACAAGATCTTTCTAATTTCCATATTAATCATGTTCTTTGCATTGTAAATTTTTCACTTTGTAAATAACATGCAATGCTTAAACAAAAGCAACTTAAATGAATTATAAGATTTTAAATATGAATGTAGTAGTATGGAATTCAATGTATTATATGAAGGATGATCCAGAATTTGTTTAAAAATCCTGCAAATTTTCATTTTGTCTTCATTAAATTTATACACATGTACCTGTGTTAAGTTTAATGTGTCATGTATGTACATTGTAATCGCAAATTATATTATTTAATAACCTTCAGTACAGTTTCAGTGTGCTTTTAAATAGCATGGTAATGCCACAGCAGCAAAGCTCATAAAATATATTGTTGAATTTTATAATACACCAAAATTGCCTGAAACAAACAGGGATTTTGTAAAAAATTTGAAGAAAATAATTGTTAAGATATGCATGTACTGATTATAATTTCTTTTATTGTTAGCTTTTTTTTTTATTGTACAGAACTACAGATGATATACTTATTACTCATTAATGTACTGTTTGTATAAATGTACTTACGTCCATGTCCGTATGTACCTTGCTCCATCTCCCTTTCTAGTTGCCAGCCATGTTTATAATCACTTCTGTCATGCAAAAATTTACAACTGTCTGTAAACATATAAAATTTAGATTTAATAAAACATTGTTTTATCTCCTTTTTTCAGCTTGGTTTTCAGTCACATAAACAGATACTGTAAAAGGTCTTATGGTGACTTTCCAGCTTACCTGTTAAGGAAGATATCATACGCCCTTTACAGGGCTTCCGTTAGGTTTCAATATTTTGAAGTCGGAAACTTCAAATTGTCTGACATTGGAAGTCACATTATAAAGGGAAAGGTATATATTGGAAGTCACAAGCCAAAATCAAGGAGTAAATAAATGACTCCCAGACTTCCACTAATGGAAGCTTTATATTAATTATTTCAGGCTGGGAAAAGACCAATGAATAGAACCAACAACCTAACATAATTTATGTTCAAACCTTTCTAAATTAAGAGGTATTCATTTTCAGTGGACAGATTCAAACTCACAACTGAGCTAATTTATAAAATGTCATTAACATGAGCCACTATGCCCAGGAGATCACTTAATTAATACAAAATTAAAGTAACTCTCTGATCAAACATTCTGTAAAATGAACATAATTTTTCAAGTTGAATCAGCAATATATAGATAATGTAGCAACTTTCCAGGACACTGATAACACTTAAGTTTTGCCACCTTGACTATATTTCAAGCAGAATCTTACTCTAATCAACTTGTCAAGGTCAAAATTAATGACACTATTGTCTCGACTATATGTGTGAGACCCAAACCTCTGATAAAATGTAAGCAGTTAGGAAAGAACTGAACATTTGTATTGTCATTGATAATTTCTTAAAACAATGAACTATTGATGTCTTTCCTCAAAGCTCATACTTTAAATTTTGGGTGAAAAAAATACAGTGGTTGTCAAGCATTGTAGGATAAACCCAATGCAAAAGTACATTTTATAAATGATACTCATTCACAAAAAATTCAAAAATCAAATACTCATTGCCATAACATCTAACCCTGATATTAATTATGTCTCCCCCACCTCGGGGGGAGACATATTGTTTTTGCCCTGTCCGTCCGTCCGTCAGTCTGTCCGTCCGTCCGTCAGTCAGTCCGTCCATTCTTCGTTTCCGGATGATAACTAGAGTTCCTTTTGACCTACAGCCCTCAAACTTCATAGGATGATTGGTCTTATAGAGCTGATGATCCCTATTGTTTTTGGGGTCAGTAGGTCAAAGGTCAAGGTCACACTGACCGTTGGTCAATTTCTCGTTTCCGGATGATAACTAGAGTTCCTTTAGACCTACAGACCTCAAACTTCATAGGATGATTGGTCTTATTGAGCAGATGATCCCTATTGTTTTTGGGGTCAGTAGGTCAAAGGTCAAGGTCACACTGACCGTTGGTCAATTTCTCGTTTCCGGATGATAACTAGAGTTCCTTTAGACCTACAGACCTCAAACTTCATAGGATGATTTGTCTTATTGAGCAGATGATCCCTATTGTTTTTGGGGTCAGTAGTTCAAAGGTCAAGGTCACAGTGACCGTTGGTCAATTTCTCGTTTCCGGATGATAACTAGAGTTCCTTTTGACCTACAACCCTCAAACTTCATAGGATGATTGGTCTTATAGAGCTGATGATCCCTATTGTTTTTGGGGTCAGTAGTTCAAAGGTCAAGGTCACAGTGACCGTTGGTCAATTTCTCGTTTCCGGATGATAACTAGAGTTCCTTTTGACCTACAGCCCTCAAACTTCATAGGATGATTGGTCTTATAGAGCAGATGATCCCTATTGTTTTTGGGGTCAGTAGGTCAAAGGTCAAGGTCACAGTGACCGTTGGTCAATTTCTCGTTTCCGGATGATAACTAGAGTTCCTTTTGACCTACAGCCCTCAAACTTCATAGGATGATTGGTCTTATATAGCTGATGATCCCTATTGTTTTTGGGTCAGTAGGTCAAAGGTCAAGGTCACACTGACCGTTGGTCAATTTCTCGTTTTTGGATGATAACTAGAGTTCCTTTTAGACCTACAGACCTCAAACTTCATAGGATGATTGGTCTTATTGAGCAGATGATCCCTATTGTTTTTGGGTCAGTAGTTCAAAGGTCAAGGTCACAGTGACCGTTGGTCAATTTCTCGTTTCCGGATGATAACAAGAGTTCCTTTTTGACCTACAGCCCTCAAACTTCATAGGATGATTGGTCTTATAGAGCAGATGATCCCTATTGTTTTTGGGTCAGTAGGTCAAAGGTCAAGGTCACAGTGACCGTTGGTCAATTTCTCGTTTCCGGATGATAACTAGAGTTCCTTTTGACCTACAGCTCTCAAACTTCATAGGATGATTGGTCTTATAGAGCAGATGATCCCTATTGTTTTTGGGGTCAGTAGGTCAAAGGTCACAGTGCAGTGGGGGAGACATGCGCTTTTTTACAAAAGCATCCTCTAGTTTATTATTCATTTATTATAAACTTCGAATCAAAGACACATTATTTTAATTAAGTCAATCAAAAATTAACATACAGGTAGTTTATATCATGGGAACATTCAAGGCAATGTACTACTGCTGGATTTCACTAACTGATACTTTGTGTTTGGTTTAACAGCGCACAAACACAGTTTAGGTCATATGGCGCTGAAACAGAAAAGATGATTTTGGCTAACCGCAGGCAAACTTCAAAGCAATGCCAGGGATCAAAACTACCTCCCCTGCTGGAGCTAAGAGATACATAGATTCCAGTTATTCAAACCCATTAAGTAACCTCTTATGATTAGTACCTGTAATTCTTATGCCTCAACCCTTAAAAGGCAACCCCTCAGCCACAAGGGGCAATATTATGGCAGTATATCACTGTCTCTGAAATCACAATACAACATGAAAACATACCTCCAAAGCCACACATTCCAGTTTCTTTATAATCTTTACATATATCAGGCTGATAATCCCACCTTACTGTTGCTCTCAAATGAGCAGGTGCCCGCAGAGGTCCTTTCCTACAAAGAACAAAAATGCATTTCAAAGGTAATTTCACTACTTACATAAGCTACAGCTTTAACAATTCAAGAAAAAAAAATATTTTGAATTGGGTTTAAAATAATTAGATCTATAAAATATAGTGAAATAATTTATCATTTCTTTAACAAAATGTACATGTGTTTATCTAGTTCTGGGAACATTATAAGTGGCATGATGTACCTTTCATATTCCTTCAAATTTTTTACAGTCTTATACATGTAGATACATCTCAAACATTGACAAATTTCATTTCATCTAAAATATACATATAAATTTTCATGAAGTCTTTTACAAAATCTTGATTAAATTTTAAGAGTTGATTTATTTACATACAAATGAATACAATTTAGTTTGTAGTTACCACAGTTTAATAAAAAACATTGGTCTGTTGACAGATTTTTATTAGACATAACAAAGTGTTAATTTATGTTTTAAACTATGAAAATAATGTAAAAGAATATCTTGGTAAGCAAGTGCAGCAACTTGAAAATATGAGCTATTCCAAGTTACTTGCTGAGAGTCATGTATATGATAACAAAAAACAGAACTGTACCTGACAGAGTTACTTGCTGCATTACCCTGAGCCGTGTCTCTCTTTTCATAGAACACCTGATAATTGTTGATCCCTCTGTATACCTTGTCATCTTCTTTACCTTTTAACTCCTGTACAGTGAATACTTCAACATTTAAATTTCTCTCCTATACATTACATGTAACATGAAATATTACCTGCATTGTCACAAAATTAACTGTCAAACAATTAATACATGTGAATATATTCATATTTTTTTCTCCATCGTTCTTTTTGTATTTATTTTTAATTATATATCCTACCATGTGTATTAAATACACAGGACCAGCAAAATCTGATTTTGACTATCTTGTCCATTTTATCTGAATATATATATTTTTTTACTTGTATATACAATATAAAATTTATAATTTCTTGAAAAATTCACTTGTCCGTACAGACAAATAATTTTGCCACCCCTGCTACAAATGGCAACTTTCCAGCTTTTGCTCTCAGAAAAATAACAAAGATACATAATATTCAAGAGACCACTTAATTAACACAGAATGTATGAATAATGATAATGAGTTATTATGCATATTTTTCCCAAATGTTTGAAAACAACATTGACCTACAACATTTAACAGCAGAAAATATAGCAAACAAGTTATTATCTTTTTTCAAAATGTTCAAATTAATCGGCAAAAATTTATATTAATTATTATTTAGATAACATACAAACCTTGTTGACTTCTTGCTGTTTCTCAAAGATAGCCCTGGCATCATTTGCTAGGTCCGTATCAATCTGAACTGTTGATGTTGCACCCATATCTTGTGGTCCCTCACTTTTCTACAATACATACATCATTATCACATTTTAATTCTGAAGTTTACTTGATAAAATATAACTGATGGAACTGATACAAATGTCACTGTTCTGGAGCACATAGGTCATCCCCTACCTACATAGCATTTTGTCAGTAGGGTATAACTAGTTTCCAAGTTGATACATTATATTGACATAAGTTATACTAAGCTCTTGACAACAAAAAAAGACAAAGGGTAGTTACTTTAAAATTATGTAAATGAGAGTTGTGGTTCTTGGGCACTGCACTTCTCCTGAATGAAATATATCCACCTTTTGAATTTCAAGATACCCCAAACAGTTTTTTGAGCTATGCCCCATACAAACTCTCACTGCAGACTGATAAACAAACAGACCAGCTAAAACCAGAAATATCACCTTTATAATTTTTTAGTTTTCAAAATGCCTAAATTTCAAACTTCCTTCAAAATCTATATCATCTGAAGATTGTGAATGTTATATTCATAAATTTTACACGTGTCTACATGTACATTGTTATCTCATTTGCATCAATTTCTAGTTCGGTTTTCAAGCTTTCCTTAGTTTCAATAGTTTTCAAATGAAAAGATGGCAATGTGTCTTATAAATATTCTAATAAAGTTGTTAAAAGTATGGCCTAGCTTCTGTTCTATTAGGAAATGTAGGAAATCTATTTTTAGCTTCAGTGTTCTGGACAATGACCCAGTAGACAATAAGTAGAGGTCCATTGAATATACTTACACACACAAATCAGATATCATTATATGTCAGTCAATAATTGAAGGTGAAAAAAGAACATTAAATTTTATGTGATAGAAAAGTCTGAAGAACAAACAAATTTGCATCTATTTGCTTCACTGAAAAATTTCGTTACCATAAAAACAGAGATGACTTACCCCTGTTCTAGATGATTTATAAGTCACTGCTACCGACTTTCTTACATCCACATCACTGTCACTGTCAGATATATCATCATATCCAACCTTCTTTGTCTTCGTCTAAACAAAATCAAAACATGGTACTAAATAATAAGGAAATCAACTTAAGTAGTACTTCATGGAAAATAGTCCCCAAGTCATATTTTTTAAATTTTTACTTCAAAACTAACTTCACCCATAATCTGCTAAATATCTTAAAAGGACATGTCCTGACAATACCATTCATTGTTTAATTTTTAGTTATTTTGCTTATTTTAATACTGCACGCTTTTTATTGGATAATTGTGACGTTTATATAGTTTTATGTACACGGCTGCTGTCGATTTATAAAGAAATATCGCTTTATTCCTCTAAAAATGATGCTTGCTGTATCATAAATTAGTTATAAATATTTCTGACAGGTTATATAGCTGTATATAAAGGGTTGTTTGCAATATAACCCTCACCTTATATTTACACACAACCATTTATATAGGGCCATATAACCTGTCAAAAAATCTTTATAACTAATAACATATACTGGCTTTGTAGGGAATAGTGCAGACCCTGATCAGATTGCACAGTTTTTACTTGTTGCATGGGTAGAAGATGTTGATAGTGCAGGGTTATCAATGTTCCAAGTTTGTTTGTTTGATTTTTTAATTCAAAAGGTAGCACAATCATAAGTTAACCAAGAACTATAAGGTTATTGATTTTAGATTTAAACATTTTAAAGATGTTTTCGGAAGTTTTCATAGTGACATAGGCAAAATTAAAACTGTTCAATACAGTAGAATTTCTATAAACTGTGCATGTTGTTACAATATGATGACAGCAATATTTTGAGAGGGTGGGAGTTAAGGGAATGTTTCTGGATACTTTAATTAAAAAAAATATCAATAGCACGGTACTTACTAGTATATGTATAAACAGTACATTGACCCTTACAAGCATGAGCTTTAAGTCATAAGCCTTTGTACCAGTAAAGAACTTGGTCAGTAATCACATCCGTGAAGTTTGACAAGTCAAGTATATCTAAGACATTTTGCAGATTAACTATAAGCAGTCATGAAATGTGAGTTGATAGACTGATTCACATGTTCTCACAACATACGATCTGTCTTTCCAAAATAAAGCTAAAGGAACTGAAGGTACTTACTGACTGAACCATTCTTTGTGGTCCTCTAGCTCTCTTTGCTTTGATAACAACGTTTCCGTCATTTTCATCACTGCTCTCTAAAAATAGAAAATATTAACAAACTTTGTTACAAAGTGAATTAACAGTTTTCAAAGTAAATGATTAAATATTGAGAGCAGAAAAAAGTTTATGTCAGAGCGATCTGTCTTTCAGACCAACAAATTCATGAACTAAATAATATAGGTCAGGTGCTGAACATTAAGTCGTGATTCTGGTGAAGAATGTGCACAGGCATGTCATGGGAAAATATAGCACTTTTAAGGGAAAATATGCCTAGTTTGGGCTAGGTTATAATTGTTTGTAAAATATAGGGGAAAAAATCTGTAGACAGATGTTTTGTGGCACTATTGATTTGAACTGGTGTGTAGAATAAAATCATCACATAGTGACCAGCCTTAACAACCAATCAAATTCCACGAGAATACTAAAAAGCACCTGCTTCACATAAAGGGTGAAGGTCAGTATATACAAGCGATAATATTATTTGTTTTGCTTAAAGTTCCTTCTTCCTATATAGTGTGTTAATAAGGTATTTCTCTGTGTATCAGGCTATTAAAAAAATACTGTAACAAAATGTTTTATAAATATTGTCAAACCAAGTTTAGTCCTTTGCCCCTTAGCAGTCCTTAGAGGTGCTGCAACAGTCATAACGTCTATCATCAAAATTATAGTTTATCTTAAAATTATACATTTTTTGTCACTAAACATACTACCATATCTTATAAGAATGACCTAGGAGGTATTTTAAGGTCCTTTCAGTTTGAGCCTCCCTAGCAGTCCTTAGTGCCCCTTAGCAGTCCGGCAACTCATTGGGTAATCCTCTGAAGTCATATTTGAAAAAAAAATGGTTGGGTACCCCTATATAACAAGATAATTTTTATGTGTCAGACATTTCATTCTAGATGTGCTGGAAAAATCACCTCAATAAGAAAATCAATGCATAAGTCTGACCTCTTGGGCATTCGACATCGCTTATAATATTCGTTCAAGTATGAAAAAATGGTCAAAAATTATGATAAAACTATAGCTCATGTAATTAACCTGAACCACTTGATTGTGATTTACGCTGAAAATGAGGTCTTCTTATTGTTTTCTTAATAAATGTGCACACTTTTTTCTCCTCAACACTTTCGTCGGCCATTTTGAATGTTGTGCCTTAATACCGGAAAAGACCGATTGCGAAATGAGTTTTTTTTTTCGCGAAATGAACATTTAACATATTGTATCCTGGTTGTACTATCTACCGGAGTGTAAGCCTTATTAGGCCCACCATCATATAATACAGAAAAAATCTAGGATAAAATAGTTATTTTCTGTAGAAGGTACCATTTTTTGATGAAAATAAAAATCATTCAAAAGAAAATTTAACTGTACTGTACATCAAAAAGATCGTTCGTATCGATTTATTCAGGGAATAGACATATACACATATACACATACAATTTTATCACAGATATCAACTTGCATATATAAAAACACACACATATAAATGCAACAAAATTAATTATAAGATTAATGAATGCGTAAGTTCTATGTAACCCTAGGATAGCCCATTAAGCTAAAAGCTTATTTCCAATGGGGTCCATTTTCTGTAAAATTATTACACTAACTTACATAATAATAAATGAGTTATAAAGAAGTTAAAATAAATGACAGTTTTCAACAATCAAGACACATTTTTCAATATAATAAGATCTGTTAATAACCTCATATGAGTGGCAACCATCTTTGTTTTTAAGTACTTAATACCAGGAATGACTTTTAAGCAATCAATAAAAAGTTAAAAACATATGTAAATGGTCTATATTACTGTTAGTGATACTAAAGTTCTATTCAATATTTATCAGTTATCACACAGTAAAAGGGTAACAATTTGATAAGCATTGCACACACATTCAAAATATAATGTTGCATGGGTCCAAATCGTTAGCAGTATTACTGGTTTTTATACGTAAAACACATTTATGTGAATAGGGTTATTAAAACTTTGAATTTTCTTCAAAAAATGCTATGTTTTGTATGAAATTAATGAGAAAAACACTTGCATACAAAAGAAATTTTTTATGTTAGTATTGTTTGTAATATCTGGACATTCCCGGTACAAAGTACCTCCCGGTATAAAGTACCTTACAAGTGGTGAGGTATAAGTCGAACACGATAAGGTTTACATTGATCGGTCGTGCCATTATGACATAATGGGTTTTGCAAGTTATTCAGTTATATGTGTAGACGTAGCCAGTCGGCATATATTTCTAATGAGTTCATGTGACTCAATGTAAAAAGAACCTGAAATATATATATCCAAGATATATTTATTATGCAACTGTCAATGGTCATGTGGCAACTGCATCGATGCATACATTTGTCACCTGACCATCGGCGATTCAGTTACGGGTGACAGATTACAATGTAGTATGATTGTATTGTCTATCTATCTCTGGATACTGCCAACCCCTCTTACGAGTGTTAAAGGCAGGAATTTAGTGCACGTCGGATTGTTAGTAAAAGGTGAAGAGAAAAGCTAAAAAGAAAAGTCCAAACATTGACATGCTTGGAAGGTGAGACTGAAAATGTATTCTAGTCATGGTTAAAATGTTAATAGTGAAACAAGATGATAAGAGATAAAATAGTTTAAAAACACTGGGAGTAAGACTAGTACTGCAAGCCCACAACTGCCTGTTTGAACTGACTCAGGTTGGGCAGGGTGGCAATGTTACTAGGAAGTTTATTCCATAGTATAATGCTATGAGGGAAGAAAGAGTACTTATGGTAGTCGGAGGATACCTGTATTTGACGTAGGGATAAGGGATGCATATGTCTGGTTAATCTATGTGGGGTTTGAACATAAGTTGGGAGATTAATTGCAACTAGGTTATGGTATATCTTATAAAACATTATCAGTCTACAGTCCAGTCTGCGATGTTCAAGGGATCGCCAGCCCAGTTCTTCCTGCATGGCTGTGACACTAGAGTGAGGGGAGTAATCCCTTTTAACCCATCTTATTGCACGTCTCTGGATCATCTCAACTTTGTCAATATTGGTTTTAGTATAAGGAGACCAAATAGATGAGGCATATTCAACCTGTGGGCGGACCAGGGACTTGTATGCTAGTTCTTTTACTTTCTCATTTTTAGTGATGACGTTTCTTTTAATAAAGCCAAGGGATCTGTTTGCATTGGAAGTTATTCGAGATATATGTGTATTAAATTTAAGGTCAGCAGATAGATCTAGTCCGAGATATTTAGCATTTGTAACAGACTCTAGGATTTGGCCATGGAGCATATATTTGTGTTTAATTATGGTCTTATTTTTGGTGATATGGATGACTTGGCATTTTGAAGGGTTAAACTCCATGTCCCACTGCTTCTCCCACAGAACCATATTGTCTAGATCATGTTGGAGAGTTGGGGGGTCTGAGGAGGAATTGATGGTTAGGTATACAGCAGTGTCGTCTGCAAATAATCTGACTTGGGATTTGAGGACAGAAGATGGTAACTTGTTGATATATAGAAGGAAACAGAGGGGCCCTAGGACCGAGCCTTGGGGCACTCCAGAGGTAACTGGGACTTCAGATGAGCAGTCACTATCCACAACTACTGTCTGTCTGCGGCCAATAAGGAATGACTGTATCCAGTTTAGAATTTGAGGACAAACACCATGTTCTTGCAGGGTATCTAAGAGTTTAAGATGGTTTACTTTATCGAAAGCTTTGGAGAAGTCAAGAAGTATAAGATCTGTTTGTTTGCCATTTGAAAGGTTGTTCACAAAGTAATCAGTAAGTTCAATGAGTTGTGTCTCACATGATCGTCTTTCTCTGAATCCATGCTGAAGATCAAAGAGTATGTTGTGGGTGGTAAAGTGAGAGGATAGTTGAGAGGCAACTATATGTTCGAGTGTTTTACAGAGGATGCATGTAAGGGAAATTGGGCGATAGTTTGCTGGATCACTTGTATCACCTTTTTTGTAGACAGGGCATACGTTTGCACGGGTCCAGTCATTGGGAATATTACCGGTGGTCAGGGATTTTTGGAAAAGAACTGTAACGATGTCAGCAATCTCTTCTCTCAGCTCCTTCAGGACAATTGGTCTAATGTTGTCAGGGCCGGCAGCTTTGTTGGCATTGAGGTTGGCGAGGAGCTTTAGTACACCTGCCCTACCGATGATGATGTCATTCATTTGTGGGTACTGACAATACTTTCTGGGATCCATGAGTCTCAGTTTTTGTATACATTGATTTTTAAGTGTGAGTGGTATAATTGGTGAGAAAACTGATTGAAATTGTTTGTTAAGAATGTTTGCTTTTTCAGTGTTATTAATTTTGAGAGAACCTGACTTTTGATCTTTTAATGGAGACACACTTTGTGAATCTTGTTTAGAGTTTTTTATAAGTGAGTATAGTTTTTTTTTGTTAGTAAATAGTTAACATGAAATGTAAGGTGGATAACGGGATTTGAGATCATGGAGTAAAATGGATTGTAATTAATGAAATGGACTGTATATAAAAACGACACTTCATATAATTTTAATTGTTTTATTGATAATTTTCAATAATTGTGACACAGGCTCCCGCAGATTAATAACAAATCACAAAGACACTTACAATATAATAATAACTCTATTACACATGTATTACATTTTGCATTTTTATTGCAATATAGAAAATAAAAATGAGTATGGACACGTTATTCCGAGTAGCGAAGTGGTAAGAGAGTTCAGATTACGAAGAGTTCATGTTAAGAAAATCATTTATTTTTTCGAGTTCAAATCTGCAATTGTGCAACATTTTGTGTGTCTGAATGTTTTTTTTCTTTCAGAAATTTTTTTCATATTCTCTTTAATAAACCTGTGATTTATTTAATTTTTTGTACAATATAAATTTAAACATTAACTGTTTATAAAAATTGAATGTATTTGATTTTATCATGCAACTACCATGGTAACTGCCCGATAACACTTGCCTGATAATTATTTTTGATATCAGTTCAGTAACCTGATATCAAAAATAAGTCCCGCCCATTTTTAACGGACTTTTTTTTCAATTGCTTATACATGTATTCTCATTTTCATCAGCATGTGAATTCTTCAATGTAATCTCATACCCTTACAAGTCTTGAATCAAGATGCGATATTTATTTACTTATTATTTCGATTTCAATTAGGAATAAATTCGACAGCGAATAGTTTTAACACCAACTAAATGAGTGACGTCATTATAATTATAGTGCAGTAAAGTTTATGTGATTCTAAGAGATTTTTTGGATCGATGTTTAAATTAAAGGTAAGAATTTTATCGTGTTAGGCCTACATTCTGTTGTATCTTTTATCCGAGTCGAAAGAAAAAATGGCCGCCATTTACAAATTCTAAGTTTCAGGGGCGGAGGAATTTGTTGTCAAGAATTATTTCTTTGAACAAAAATCCCCTTTTTTACGAAATTCGCTGTTTAAAAGTAGATTATTTTGTTATTTTGACAGTTTTTATGTGTTACATGATAAATAGAAAAACATGCTACTGTCTTTTGATATCAATTTTATCAGGCTCGGCTGATGTGGGCAGAAGGGCTCGGCAAGCTTCGCCCTTTCTAGCCCATATCAGCCTCGCCTGATAAAATTGATATCAAAAGACAGTAGCATGTTATTCTCTATTTAACAGTCATTGAACAGCTTGAATAGTATTTTCAATTTAATTATATGTAAAACTCTCAATTCAGTTTGCTACATTTTTTGACAATTTCGACTCATTTGTATTTTTGTATATTTGATTTTCTTCCATTCCTCATTTATCACTCTAATCACGACTGTGTTTTTTTAAACTTATACATGTATGTAAAACTAAATAATCTCTAATAGTATTGTGTAAAAGAAATTCACAAGGAACTAAAATATCTAAAAACAAAAAACAATACCCAAAAAGAAAACATGCCTGTTCCAGGAATCGAACCAGGGTCGCTACACTGACAGAGCCAACACTCAACCAATGCGCTATTACGCCGAACAGATAAAATATGAGTAATTGTTTAGGTGATTAAATATTTAATAGGCCATTTATATAAGAATTATCGACACCCCTTTTGTCAGTATTGATGTAAAAAGATAATGATAGGAATAACGAATTCGGGCTGTACTCAATAAATTTGAAAGACAACACGGTGCACCTTATAACTTCTTTATTTCTTAACCAATTTTTTATATTTTTGAAATAAAATGAAAGATTAGTTCATAACCTTTTTAGGGATGCCTTGAATATAAAAATGAATTAAGCAAAAGTAATACCTTTTTCATTCATCATTTTCCCTCTGAAATTCCGTAAGAAAAAAAACGGCGCCCCATTTTATAACATTTTTATTTCTTAATCAGTTTATATAATTTTGGTATCAACTTAAAGAATATTTCATAAGCTTTCTATGTATATCTTTATACTAATATTGAATTAAGCAGAAGTAATAAAATTGTTTTTATACCGAATTTGAGAGTGCGGTATTCAGAGGAATATGAAAAAAAAAATTGAAAAATAAATTTTAATACTGCTACTTAATTCATTTTGTTATTTTAAGACATCCACGAAAAGTTTATGATGTAATCTTTCATTTGATAACAAAATTATTAAATTTGATTATAAAATTAAAAAAATTAATAGGAGCTGAGCGCCGTGTTTGTCTTAAGTATCCAATTTGAGAGTGCGTTAAATAGAAGGACAATGAGCTTTAACTACTAGTGATGAAAAAAGTTCATCTTTATGCACATGCAATATGGACATCGATGCGTTACTTATTAAATATAACATTTTTCTAACCTTTGTCATAATAATTCAATTTGTATTTCATTAATTGTAATTTGTATAAATTTAAAGTGTAAAAATCTAGTATGCAACTTTATCATTTTTCCACATTTACTGCTAAGAAAATCAGTGAAAGACGCCAAGCACTAACGTCCTGTATCTAAAATTAGCTGTATGACAATTGAATGATTTTTACATGCACTAAACATGTTTGCTTTGAGAAAGCCCGTTATTTGAGTTTGTTTAGAGCAAAAATGCAACAATTTTTGGTAGAAATATGGTTTTAGCGTATCTGCAGGATAGACTGCAAAGTGCAGACCGGTGGAGGGATTTTCTTCGCCATTAGGAATGACATTGCTGTTAAAGAAATGCATGAACTTGAATCACAATATGAAGATATAGGATGGGTTAAGTTAGACTTAGTTGGAAACGTGTCTCTAGTCATTGGAGGATACTACAACTAAGCCCCAAGAACTAGTCCCAAAAAAACTTTCTGGAATTTGCAAAATCACTTGAAAAGGACCCAAATAAAATACCATCCCTGGGTCAATCAATATACCAAGAGACTGATCAGAAAAAGAAACCAGGCCTTAAAAGGGTTAATAAATCAGGATCATCTTCTTATCGTAAAAAGTTTATTGACGTGAAACATCCAGTGCGAAAAAAGGTTAAAGAACCTTATAACCAGTATCTTGAAGACATTATAAATTTAAGTAACACTGATACCCAAAATGGTACGAACCCCAACTCTAAAAATCTGTACTCCTTAATTACAAATTCAAAACAAGAAACATCTGCTGTCCCCAATAAAAGTATGAAAATAAATTTCCCAGGCGATAGGCAAATCCCTGACAATTATAGGCCAATTTCCTTGACATGTGCTTTGAGTAAGGTTAGGGATCACATAGTTTTCTCTCAAACATAACATCCTTTACCAACTCCAGCATGGTTTCAGGGAAAATGGTTTTGTGTTACGCAACTTGTTATATATGTTGGTAAAATAGTTGGTCACGGTTGGTCACCCCAGTATATGAGAAAAAAACAAGTAGATCTGATTCTTTGAGATTTCAGTAAGGCTTCCGATAAGGTCAGTCATGAAAAAGTACTACTGAAAAATACATTACTATGTTATTTTGTAAAATGGGTCAAAGTTTTCAAGATAACAGACAGCAGTCTGCTGTGCTAAATGGCAGCAGCTCAAACCCCATCCAAGTATCATCAGGTATCCACCAAGACTAAGTTCTAGGACCCCTCCTGTTTTCTGCCCATATAACTGACCTCCTATAAAACATAAATTCCCAGGTCCGCTTGTTTGCAGACGATACTGCAATATATACATTGTTCTGACATCTGCAAATCAATCAGTCACCCTCCAAAATGACATAATGGTTCAAAAAGTGGGAGTTGGAGTGAGATGAGTTTACACCTCCAAGTGTCAAGTTATCCACGTCATCCTATACCAACACAATAGAGGCTGTCAAGTTGTCTCACGCAAGAAAATGGGAAAAAGTAGGAACATTTAAATTGCAAAAAAGTAGGAAAATAGTAGTAAAAAGTAGGAATATTTACCAAAAAGGTAGGAATATTTAGCTGTCTTACCTTATTAAATATATATTGATTTGTATTGTTTGATTTTATAAACCTGTCATTTGCAAACTTACTGTACGGTCAATACACACAATATATCATGGAGATTAATGTATATGTCTGTGAATATATTAAAATTCGACAAAGAATCTGTAAATTTTGTGAGATGCGCGCAGGAACATGTGATAAGATTTAATTTGTTTCTATGAAATAATTATGCTGACCTTTATAGTGTAATAGAATAAACTATATACTAGTTTATAATTTCTGAATGTCCTATGTGTTTTAAGATCGAAACCGCATATGTCCTTATTTTATTTCTTATTTACAAATATTTCATCAATATTGAAGCTATAATTGTTTTTTATGCTGTTCTTATTGTTTTTAATGTGAGTTGTGCTAATTCATATTGGTAAAGACTATACTCTTTTGAATAGCATGGTTTAAGAATTAATTTTTAAATTTCATTCCGAATTAAAATCAATAAATGTCATTTCAGTGCCGTAAAAGACTATGCAAAACGAGACAAATCAAAGTTTCCTAAGTTGTTACATATCCATGTAGACAATTTGCAAGCACTTGACCATTTTCATTAAAATATACTTAATTAGGTCTAAAAAATGACAAAAGTAAGGATCAAACCACAGACTTCTCATATATTAGGTAACCTCTTAACTGACTGTGATATTGCGGATGTGATGAGAACCCATACAAGATAGTGTGACTTTTTAAACATTATTTGTATAATCCATATTTACTCTCGTAATCAATACAGACAGAACCGAAGTGCATGGAATCGAATATTTAAATGATTGCAACAATGTATTCATTAATGAGAGGCCAATAATATCAGAGTAGTCTCACTAAGTATGTCTTTCTGCGGAAAATATACTTTATTGGGTTGAAATACGTTCAAGCCAATTCTTAAACTTTCAAAAGATAATTCTGCCCTCCATCTGCTCAAGGCTCAAACCCATCTGACTGTCACAGATAACCTTAAATAGCATGTGGGACAGCCAGCGAGGGTCTTTAATTGTGTCACACAGATGAAAGCTTCTTACAGTCTTATTACAATCACTTCACTTCTGTCCTTAAACACTGATTTAAAAGTACAACTTCATTTATATTGCCTTGAGTTCTTAAAAGTATGAATTGAAGACATTATACTGTTGTATGTGTTTATGTATATTACCTAAATAAATCGATACGATTATAAAAAGTAGGAATAAAGTAGAAAAAATTAGGAACACTTAATTTAAAAAAGTAGGAAAAAGTAGGAAATATTAGGAAAAGTAGAAACAACTTGACAGCCTGCACAATACTACCTAAATGGAGTCCAATCAGAATCGGTGACCTCAGCAAATGCATAGGCCTGGATATATCAGAACACCTTACATTGTGTGTATGCAATGCTAACATAAACAGGACATCAAAGAAAGCAAACAAAACCTTAAGATTCCTACGCAGAACATAAAGGTTAAATCCAAGTCCTTTGCTTACCAGACGTTAGAAAGACCCCAATTTAAATATAGATCCGAAGTATGGTCTCCCCACACAAAATACACATAGATTTAATTAAGAATATTTACATTGAACATGTCTCACTCTAGTTTTCCAGCCCAGTGTCTTAAATTTAACATTTTTAATATTATTCTTTTATCCTCTTTTTAAACAACCCTTTTTGCTATTTTGACGCGCAGACATGTCTATTTGGAAAGCTTGGAACTTTATTATTTGGAATGAACAGATGAATACGATTCGTTAATTGTCAACTGAATATTGATGAACCATTATTCTATATTTGATGTCCTAGGTCATGGTCAGGGTATTGTATTGTTACATGGCCAGCGATTGGGTGAAAAAAGTGCAGGGAAAATCTATTCTTCAATATATACATGAGGTGATTGGATAAAAATGGGGTATTTTTAAGTATGAAACTAATTTAGAAAGTAACACTACATTGTTTTGAAGAAAATAAAATATTTCACGAGTCTCTATGATAATTTGTCTTGTCTATTTGCATTTATAAAAAGTGTATGTCAGTCCTGTGATCAGCAGAAAAATTCAATGAAATGGGGGTAATCCTCTTTGAAGTCATTTTGCAAAATAATTGGGTGGTTACCCCGATATAACAGGAACATTTTATGTGCCAGGTATTTCATTCTGCTAGAAAAATCATCTCTCTAGCATGAAAACTCAATTTTAAGGTAGGATTAGGGACCATTTCTTATAATGTAAGTCTATGGGAATATCAATGTGCGTGTCTGACCTTATTGACGAGTAAGACAACTTTTTTGGTCGTTCGAGTTTTAGAAAGGCCACGTAATTTTTCATAACTTCCTGTTTCATAAAAAAAACCAACTTTTGTTTTTAAAATATAAAAATGAAGTGGTTTGATGGGAAAATACCAGATGCAATTCAAGTGTCGAAACGAAATGGATCTTTGTTTATGGTTTATGTTTATGGTAAGCAATAAACTTCTGGGTATGACGTATAAATTTCCATTGTAATACATTTTCGCGATATATGCCTTATTCTCATGATTCTGGAAAAGAGTCAACTCGGCCCTATACCAATTCGGCACGGGTCAACTCGGCCCACTTTACAAAAGTATATATAACGTTTTTACTTTGCTTTGCATGTTGTTAAGGTAAATGAATAATAAGAAATATCTTATTATTACGTATATAGTTATAAATTATACTTCTGCCGAAAAAAAGTATATTTAGAAAAAAATTGTTATTTATTTGGTTTATATTTATAAACTTTCTCTGTCGAACTATGTATATTGAGTGAAAAAGCAAGACTTGTTTCCCTTAGTTTCTAATGCAAATTTAGCCGTGTTTAAATCGCTAATTTCGGGCGATTATATGTCCGATTACACCAATTAGAAGCTGGTGATCTTAGCTTCCTCTCAGTATATATTTCAACACATTTTTTGACACTGAAGGTATTTAAATTTACGGTTAAAACTACCAGGAGTCAGAAATACAGTGAGATACGCAATCAGTTATCTTTACTCACAATTCTACTGATAAGAAAAGCCTGTCTGCTGCTAGTTCTGAAAATGTCAATCCGCGTTTTATAAATAATAACCAGGGCTTCCACTAGGATTTTTTTTTAGGAAGTCAGGACTTCCTTTCAAGGAATTTTGGAAGTCATGAGGTAAATTTCTGGAAGTCAGTTGTTCTTACGCGTATAATTTTCATGTTTCAATGTTTGATTTATAGTATGGGATGATACAAGTAAAAGCAATTATTTTAATCAAAAGATTCTGAAAATGTCATTCCTTTTATTGTTTTAAGTTCAAAGTATCTTTACATGATTGTTGGGTAAATATTTTCAATAGAAGTAAGAACGTTACCCTGAAAAGGACTGTATTGTTGTTATTCAAGGACAGTGGTAACCGTGTAGAACCCTTCAGTGATAACATTCAAATAATTGCTCATTGGTATAACAAAAAAAAAAATATTTCCAGAAAACTTTTAATTCTTTAATCAATCATTGTACAAGTAGATTCTGAAATGTGTATGATGGGTTCTTCTTTTTCTACCTCTGTATCAGTACCATACAGCTGTTGTCTCATGTGATCAGCCTGCACAGCATTTTTGTGGATTCATTGTGTTTTAAAAGGGTGGATCTCTGTAGATTTCCTGAAATAAAAAAAAACATGACATCCTTTAGCATAATCCATTGTTATTTTTCTTATTTGTAAAATAAAAATTGTTGTTTAAATATCTCTTGTGTTTAAAATTATAAAACACCGTTTTTGACCAAATTAATTTTTTTAATTACATTTTTGAGATACGCCAAATTGCAGAAGTGAGCGTTGAGACATTTTGAGAGTGGGTAGGGAAAAAGATTTTTAAATGTTACTTTGCTTCTCATAATAAGCGAGTGAAAAAAAATAAAATCAAATCAACATCTATAGAATGTGTGAAAATAAAACGTCTTTAACTTCAAAAAGGAAAAAAAATCAAAAGACAAAAACACGCTTCGCCGACTCGGCAAACTTTCGGATACATTCAAACTTACCGATGCACACAATAATTAATAAATCATTTTATCTAATTAAAGTAAAAACAGATACCTACCACAGTTTATGTCAATTAACTATCCATTATCCGTACAAAACAAACAATTAATCCAATCACTTTGTTTTCACGCTTATCAAGGTCATAAATCAACACTCGCTAATTCGTCACGCGCCAGGTGCATTCGCATAATTTCACCCATCGATGTCATGTCAACCATTCAATTCAGGAGGCGGAGTTAAATAAATAATCCAATCGTACGCCAGGAAAGTGAGAAAAGGTCGGAAAATGGTCGTGGCGTACGTCGCGGCTTACGATTTTCGCCGTATTCCTAAATTTTTGGAAGTCAGCGGTACGTCATTGATCTTAATTTTCGGCGTACATATACGATTTTCGGGCGTAATTTACGGCCGTACGCCCGTTAACGGAAGCCCTGTAATAACAATAATAACGATAAAAAGTGATAACACAAACCTAAATATTAATAATTAAAAAGAGGGCGAGTTGACCCGTGCCGAGTTGGAATAGGGCCGAGCTGACTCGGGGGCCAAGTACGTTTTAGGGCCGAGCTGACCCGGATTCCCTTATTTTCATCGATTCATGACTTTAATTCAATCTATGACCTAAATGTTTGTCACAAACACTTGTGCAATGACGTTTTGCGAAAACTTAAAATGTATCAGTCGGCACTCGATTTGACAATAAAATCAAATGATAATTATAGATTCTACTTAATATTAATAAAAAGTCCAAATCTTTCTTTGTAAATGTTAAATGTGAATGAATTGGTGGTGTTCAACCAATCAGAGAAGCGTTTTAAGTGTTTCTGGATATCTTGTTTGCCATATTTTGTAACTCTTTAATCAGAGTTGTTTCTACATTATGCCCAACCAAGGATACATAGTGAGTTAACAGGTGAAAGTAAAATAAGTAAATGCATGTATTTAGTACCACTATAACTATGTAAATGAATTGGTGGTTTTAAACCTATCAGTGAAGTGTTCCAAGTATTTCTGAATATCTTGTTCACCATATTTTGTTACTCTTACTCTTGGAGTTGTTTCTACCTTATGCCCATCTAAGGGTACATAGTGAGTTCAGTCAAAATATATTGACGTGCCAAAGCTTGATACTGAGATATTTTCGTTCTGGGGCAGAATCTTGGTTTGAATAGAGGCGAGATATTGCCCAGACACGAAAATAGCACAATATCTTGTCGCGCAGTACAATTACTTGGACTAATAGTGAGTTAATTGGTGAAAGTTAAAACAACTTTACATTTTGCCATAATTGATTAATTCCTTTGAATGTTAATGGAACTTAATCAACTTATATGGCCCTGACAAATTAATCTGTTAATATCCATTTGTATTTACCTGTAATGTTAGATTTATAAAAAGAGTGGGGCAGTCTATGTATAATTATTTTAGATTTATATTTTATCCTTAACATTTTCCAGTATCAACTGCTGGTTAATCACCTTTATTACAGTCAATCGTTTAAAATATATGAGCATAATGCTTACAAAAATGCGAAAATTAACATGAAATTAGGTGCTACCTATAGTGTGGAAAACTCATATGATTTATGATTTAAGCATAACATGTTTAGTGTTCATCTAAACCAGATCTTTCTTGCACTTTGTTAGAAAATCCCGTCCGCCATTTAAGTTAATCTCTAATTTATCACAGTTGTTGTTTTAATTTTCTAATGTGCTAAATTATTAAAAAGGATATATGTTAAAGTAACTTTTTACATTAATTTTATCACCATTACTATAGTTCTTATCTGTTATCAATGAAATGCGTGTTTATTTTTTTGATTTTGTACATCATTCTTTCACTGGCAGTGTTATATGGCAAGCGTCTTCTAGCAATAGTCTGAATTATGTAGACGCTCATAATAAGCGGTCTGATATCTATATTCAACTCGAAAGGATTTCAAAGTGGCGGCACCCAGTTAACTATGTGGTCGAGGGGTTAAGAGTCGATGACTTCTAATCCAGTTACCTCTCTGGCGTGGGTTCGATCCCCGGGAGATGCTTTGGTAGTTAAGCACGGAGGAAGGTAGTCTAGTACTGATGTAACTCTCCAGGAACGATGGTTAGCAAACTACCCGCCTATTTGACTGAAATACTGTTGGGAAAAGGCGTAAAATGAAACAAACAAACAAAACCCAGTTAACTAAAGATTTTTCTCCAACTCGTTAGATATATATTTTTTTATTGATTAAGATTTTAATGTGATTCTAATTTAAATTATTCAAATCATACATGTTATCTAAGAGCGGCTGTGCTTCAGCTCTCCTGGGGACGCTCTTGATGCTCGCGGGGGGGGGGGGGGGGTATGGACTATAGATAGCTTTCCTTATTAGTCGAGTTAAAAAAGTATAAAATCGCAAAACATTGTCACAACTAGTTTTGACAAAGTGTGAAATAGTTTAGGCAGCAGTGAATACTCAACCCCCAGTTCTGAAAATGTATTGTTTTTATGCCCCCACAACGTGGGAGCATATAGCGTTGCACTTGTCCGTCAGTCCGTACGTACGTACGTCCCGAAATCTTGTGAACGCAACTCCTCTTAAACCGGTAGGCAGATTTTGCTTCAACTTACAGGGATGAACAACCTTAATGTGTAGATGGTAGTAAAGGAGGGAATTTTTGCTGGGACCAAATTTAACAGAATTATGGCCCTTTGTTGATTTTTTCACTAGATACTTATAATGTAGAAATTTTGTGAACACAACTCCTCTTAAACCGGATGGCAGATTTTACTTAAACTTCCAGGGATGAACAACCTTAATGTGTAGATGGTAGTAAAGGAAGGAATTTTTGCTGCGACCAAATTTAACAGAATTATGGCCCTTTGTTGATTTTTTCACTATATACTTATAATGTAGAAATTTTGTGAATGCAACTCCTCTTAAACCGGACGGCAGATTTTGCTTAAACTTCCAGGGATGAACAACCTTAATGTGTAGATGGCAGTAAAGGAAGGAATTTTTGCTGCGACCAAATTTAACAGAATTATGGCCCTTTGTTGATTTTTTCATTATATACTATGTAGAAATTTTGTGAACGCAACTCCTCTTAAACCGGATGGCAGATTTTGCTTAAACTTCCAGGGATTAACAATCTTAATGTGTAGATGGTAGTAAAGGAAGGAATTTTTGCTGCGACCAAATTTAACAGAATTATGGCCCTTTGTTGATTTTTAGTTTTCAACTTGTGGCACATTTAGTCCAAAAAATATTTGACCTAGAGTCATAAGATTGACAGAACAGTGGCGTGTGGGGGCATTCGTATCCTATGGACACATTTCTAGTTTTTAAATAAATATAGTTAAGGCTAAAATATGGGGAACACTTATTCCAGGTATGTATACAAATGTATGCCCTGTTTTTTCAAACTTCAATTTTTTCAGGGAAAGATGATATGTCACAACAGATGAACAGTACATGGGACAGTGAGGCAGTGTCTAAATGCCTGGAAGAAAATGGTGCTGTTGCTGTCAAGATTGAAAGTACTAGGTTAGTCAATTGTTTATAGATTTTTTTAAATTTATATGCTATTTAAATGTAAGAAAAAACCCCAGCAAACCTAAAAGCTATAAATATTGGTTCAAAAATTTGTTTATATTAAGTTCATAAATACAATTTTGAATTAAAAAATGACAATTTATAAGTCTAATTTGAGGATTTGATTATGCTAAAGTTTCGTTAGTTTGGTACTTGGGTCAAATGAATTCATTTTGATTCTGTTTCATAATATTTTAATCTGTGCTATTTTAACAAGTCATTTGTTCATTTGACTATGTCAAATGATGTCCCATGAGTTTGTGATGGGGATTTCTAATTAATGACTTATATACCGGTACTTAATTGAATGTGATAGAATGTGTATATAAAAAGCAACTTTTTTCCCAAGAATGATGATACTCTATGGTGAAATAGAAATAAAATTTGTATTTGTCAAAATAAAGACTTAATAATTATTGTTTTCCAGTGTAACACCATTTTGTTTTTATAATTACAGTGAAGAGTGTAAATTCTTTTCACAGATCTGTATCCTTTTATGATGTGAAAACAACCGTACCCCTAAGTTCTAGAAACATTTATTGACTTGACTATTCAAAGAATAGTTGGGCTATTCTATTTACTTGGTGATGTGTATTTGCATAACATTTTAGTTAAAGTTTTGCATGCAACTTTTTGTATAACAATATGTGTCTTCAACCACTTAGATATTTGCTTGTATCTTCACACACTTGTGTATGTGAGATCATAAAAGGAGGTCACTACATAAGGCTGATAAATCTAGCATGGTTTTTGACAAAATTATTACCCTTCATGAACTTACAATATTTTTTGTTAAAGTTTTACATATCCCTCAAAATTACTGAAGGTTTTTACTTTAAACCTAAAACATGTATTGATGATCATGATTGATGGTCTATTTGCAAGGCTCATAAATCTGACATGGATTTTTTAATCTTAACTGGAGGTCACTATCAAATGCCCATTATTCTTGGCATGGATTCTGACAGGTTGTCTTTTGTGAACTAGAACATTCTCGGTTAAAGTTTTGCATGCAATGTACTTATTTGTCTAAATCCATTTGAAACTAAATGCATGTCTTAAGGATCATAATTGGAAGTCACTGCCAAAGGCATGTAACTCTTGGCTTGTTGACATAGAAAAATGATTAGGCCCTTTGTAATTATACAAATTCTTTGGTCAATATCCAAGATTCATGCTTTGTCATGTATGTTTTCAGTCCTGTCATGTTTAAAAAGCCTCAGTGAAGTCCCTAGAGATCTATAGCACTGGCCTATATATCATGAAAATGTAACAGAATAGATCTATAGTCCTTAAAATATTGCCTAGATCCTGTAGTGGTTGTGCCATCTGTATTCTGTATAGGAGAAGGGGGGGTTCCCCTTGAGGTGATAGGAGGGCATGTACAACCTGACGAGTTTGTAAACAAGTTAAAACAAGTGGAACAGGTAAGAAACAGAACAATTTTGCTTTTTATCTGATTCTTGAAATTCATTAGAAATATTATGAAAAGTTGCAAAGGAAATTGTTCATGTTTAATAAATGAATTAACTATTAGATAAGTGCAAAATGTAGACTCATAGTGAATATTTTAATGTGTAGATTTAATAACAGGCTTGAGCTTTCTATATCATTTATTGGCTATATAAGTGGAATAGATTGTCATAAAGTGAACATATGTTCCATGTATCTTACATGTACTTAATTATATTGATTGTCTACATGAACTTGTCGTTAATTATTTCTGGCAAATGTTTCACTGCATGAATATGTATGGTAATGTAGATTAAACAAAAGTGCACAATAATCACAATTGTAAGTATCAAAGTTACATATGAGAATAATAATTGATCTGTGACAAATATTTGTAAAACAGTTATTGACTGTTTGAATAATATCATATTTAAGATACAAAGGTATTTTCATTTGACAGCAGATGTGATTTATAATTCTCTTCAAACTTTCATTCATGTACGGACTACTAGTATTCAGGATTACATGGTCATTTCTGAAATAAAAATGTTGTAGTTATTACATGTACTCTTAAATATTTCTTTATTACTTTATACAAAAAGATGCACGCTGCACAGAAGTCCAGTAATACCCCACCCACACCAAACACAGGTCAGCAGACTGCTGCATCGTCACCTACAGATGGGCAGGTAAATCTGCCAGGTGCAAGTAATGAGGCATCAACTTCACAGACAGGAGCAAGTGGTGACCCTGCTGTTCCATTAGAAGAAAAAGTTGAACGGTAATGAATTTTATTTAATGTGTTTTTTATCTAACAATATCGGCATATTGTTTAAAATTAAGCTGTACTCTCTATATAGAATCTTGCCGTAAAATTTTGTATTGATTTTATTCAGACATTGGATGGACAGGTCATGAAGCATGCTGTTTTGCCTTGTTGTCTGTAGAGAATAGTAGCTATTAAATCTTATTAGACTAGAGCTTAGACTTGATAAACCTGTGAATATAAAAGCTTGTCTTTGATGTGTTGAAATATAACCTGAATGTTCAAAGGTCAAATTCTCAATATTTAGGCTTTAACAACAATATTTATGAACAGATGACACAATTATCTTATTGGTTAACTAGGAAGACTAGCAAAAGAGAAATTACATACAGAGATTCTATTCTGAAATGTTTTTTAAGTGTAATACATCAAGATTTCCAGTCGATTCATAATACATAGGAGTGAGCTTGTTGGTCAGTTGATTTTATGATTTTTGGCTGATAACAACATTTATGAAACAAATTGTAATCAAACTTGGTTATAAGGAGTTCTCACTTGGGATTGCTTTGGGGTCCCCTAGGGTCAAGGTTACTTTACATACTAAAAAGAGAATAATGAGCCGCGCCATGACAAAACCAACATAATGGGTTTGCGACCAGCATGGATCCAGACCAGCCTGCGCATCCGCGCAGTCTGATCAGGATCCATGCTGTTCACTATCAGTTTCTCTACTTGTTATAGGGTTTGTAAGAGAAAAGCGTGGATCCGGATCAGACTGCGCAGATGCGCAGGCCGGTCTGGATATATGCTGGTCGCAAACGCACTATGTTGGTTTTGTCGTGACGCGGCTCATATTGATTTCTGGAGGATAAACTAGAGTTAGGAATGAAATGACAATGTTCACACAGTGTATGTATTTTGACATAGCTCTAACAGTGTGATTACACATTAAGGAAAGTTTGTTTTATCATTTAAGGGCAAAAGAGTTGATGGAAAAGAAGAAAGCAGAAAAGGCACAGAAAGAATTTGAGGTTGGTATAAGATCTTCTGATAAGAATGTGAGCACTTATTTGTTATTTGATAACTTAATAAACAAAATTTAAAAATGTCTTGTTACAGCTGTTGTTACATCAAAAGACAAGATACAACACAATAGAGAACAAGCCACAGGTCTATTATATAAGTGGAACAAATTGTTTCTTTGCTTGCCACTCAGCATTGACAGGATAGACATAAGGGAAATTCACATAACTCAGGGAGGTCATTATAATTTGACATGATGGGGGTGGGTTACAGTGTGGTATTTCTGTGAAGCAACATTATAAGATTAGGCAAAATGGTTACTTCTTCAAATTGAGGTTGCATTTATAAACAGTTTAATCTCTGCTGAGCAATACCCTTTGTTTGAGACAAAGATTTTCATAGTTACTAAGTGGTGTTGTTCTAACAGCAAGGTTAAATTCATTGTGAAGGCTTACTTTTGGAAGAATTGATACAGTTGTTGTGAATAGGTCAAAACTGTTATTGCAGTACAGTGTGTTGCTTTTCCAGTGCTTGCAAGATATTTGAAGTGTATCGAGTGAGATGCGGGTCTCTGTAATTCAAAACTTTTTAAATATATTAAAGCTTATAGAAATAGCAATTGAAAAAATGACTGCTATGTGCTTATTTACAATAAAGAAGTATTAAAAGTATTGAAAAACAAAAATATTTCTTACTACAGAAAAGTCGAGAAGAAGAAATAAAGAGAAGAAAGTTAGGATCTGATTTACAGAAATTAAAACAAACCCAGCAAGAAACACAGATGAAAGAATTAAAAGAACAAATGAGGAAAGATAAAGAGGAAGAAAAGAAAGCTAAAGAGAAAATAAGACAACAAATTGCCAGAGATAGGTACAGAAAAACTTTGTATTTTATTATTTAGGATGTTAAGATCTGTATAGTTTCTTTGAAAGATAGCATTAAATATTACTATTAGTTTGTCAGTGCTTATGGTTGGTGATCCATTTACCCAGTGATAGTGAATATTAATGAACATGCCTTTTATACATCTGAAAATTCAGAATTAAATGTTTTGAGCCTGGCTGTCTGTTTGTAAGCAATTTTGTGTTTGCACTTTACTTTTTGGACAGATCAAAGGAAATTCAAACTAATTGGCAAACATATTAACCATAATAAGACGATGTGGAGAGCCCAGGTTAGGGTGCCTCGGGTCAAGGTCACGCTAAGTCATTACGAAAGAATTTCAAAAAAAAAATGTTTTGTTCAGTATCTTTGAAATAAAAGTTATTAGGCAGTTAAATTGAAGTTTTGTGTAAATACAAGTTTACATTGATTACAGGGAAGAGAGACAGGTAAAGTTTACGAAGGAGAAACAAGAGAGAGATCAAGCTGCTGAAGAGAAGAAACGCGAGAAGTTAGTGGAGCAACAGAGACTTGCTGCTGCAGAGGAGGCAAGAAAAAGGTGAGACTTGTCAAGTGGAGAAGTTGTTTTATTAAACAATAGATAAAACAACAATATTGAGAAGAAATGTTTAATTTATGAAGTGCAATTTTCATATGGAGACAATTTCTTTAGCATAAAAAGCTAAAGATTTTTTAGCGAAGTAAAAGAATATAAGAAAATAGATTTGGTTCTAAATTATGTAGGCCTGGGGTGTCATATAGTAAGAAAAACAACATACAGTGCTATATTACGTGGAAATCATATCAATTATTTATTGAGGACAGCATAAGCTTAGTAGTAGTACAACGTATATAATTGCAAAAGTGATAGCTTCATTGACAGCTAAATAAAATGAATTAGCACTGAAGAAAAAAGTCCAGTTTGGAAATTGTTGGTTGGGAGCTTATGATACAGCTATATAGGAAAGTTTGTTATAGAATTACTAAAATGGGGAAGAAATTGTGTGTTTTATGAAGTTACATGAGAAGTTAAAAAACAACAACACCAAATTTTGATTTAAGGGGAAAAATAAAACCACCCTTGGTCATGTTACAAGGAAGGAGGAATTTAAATATTGTAATATGATATTATAAAATCATTTCTGTGTTTGATATTATTTTGATTTATTTAATATGTTAGTTTTAGTTTCCTGGTTACTAGGAAAGAATAGGTGTTTAGGGGAATTATTGTAATTAATTTTTTGTAGTGAGACAGCTAGAATCCAGGTGAGACTGCCAGATGGTTCATCAGTTACACAGAGTTACCCTTCAACTGAACCTCTGCAAACTTTACACAGTGTCATTACACAGGTAAACCTTAATATAACTGACATTATTTATGAGGGAAGATAATACTATAGAAAATATATGAAGGTATCCAATGCAGGTTCTTAGTTTTTGAAAAGCTTTAGTAGGACTTTGGAGGTAAATGATTTTGTTTGAAAGAACAACTACTTTATACCCCCAATTTCAAATAACTCCCTGAAAATGATTCTGCTCCCTTTTTAGATTGAATACACTTTGTTCATTATCAAAAAAATTATAAAAAAAACTTGACATATGTGACAGCAGAAAAAAAGAAAAAGAAATAAAGATAACTGCATACACTATTCATACACTTTTCTTGTTAAACTAAACTTTTAAATATTGTGCCATCATTATTTGTTGATATGTAAGGTAATTAATGGTAAAAAAAAATAATTGATTAACTGCACACAAATTAAACTAAAATTTTATATATTTTTGTTTTTTGTTCATGGAGGTAAATATTACGATATTTTAGAGTTCAAACTATATTGAGTTTTATAAGCTAATTATAATATTGGTATTTTATTTTCTAGAGAATTGGACAAAATGTCACACTGTCTACAACATTCCCAAAACGACGTTTTACTGAAGAAGATATGTCAAGGTCATTTGCTGACCTTGAACTTGCACCAACAGCTGTTTTGATAGCCTTACCAGTAAGTGAATACACTATTTAAATATAGAAATTATATTTTCCACTTTTGTTTTCTCAGTTTTGTGAATGTTTCAAGCTCAGAAGATTTTCCTTTGAATCGAATCGAAAATTGATTCAGTGTTGTACAAAATTTTAATGTCACTATTATTTCAATGTTAATAATTTACAATGTATGATTTATTTCTGTTATTTTAGACCAGTGGTACAACTAGACAAGCCTCCTCTTCTTCATCGACATCATCACAATCTGGTGGAATGGTCTCCTTTATATTATCTCCTTTTTTTTTCTTATGGAACTTTTTGTACTCTTTACTGTTTGGAGGTGGAAATAGTGATAGCCCACCAGGAGCTTCTGCTAGTCAATCTTCCTCAAGCTCACAGCCACAGACGTCAACAAGAGCTAACAGACCTACCACGTAAGTTATGTCATAAAACTTTTATTCATGTGAGGAAGCATCCAGCTAGTGTACAGAATATCGGTGGTTCTACTCAGGTGCATTAAAAAGAGGCACCTAAGGTCTTCTTCCACCAGTAAATATGGAAAGTGGCCATATGATCGTTACTGTGTTGGTGCGACGATAAAAAACAAAACAACAAAAAAACCTTTTATATGTCTAGAATCCTCTGTGTTGAAGGTTGGCACTTGCCTGTTACACTGTGGGTTCAAATCTGGCAAGGGAATTTAGATTTTATCATTTGGATTTGATAATGTTAGAAAGCAATACAACTAACTTTCAAATGGTTGATGGCTTTACTGGGGTGTCTGTTTATGATATAGAGGATATTTGTTTGTTTTGCATGTAAGATTGAAATATAATTTCACTGAGTGAACACCAGATGCAATATTTTCACGAGTGGCGTAGCCACGAGTGAAAATATAATAGCTGGTGTTCACGAATGAAATATATTTCAATCTTATATGTAAAACAAATAAATTTTCTTTTTATTTTATGCTTTTTAAGTGATTTTAAGTATTTTTTTACTGATTTTGCCGCGTAACGTCGCGCATTCTCCTTTGTGACGTCATTATATCATGACGTCACATCAAAAGTTTTGAAATATAGTTCTGTTAAATTTCTCTAATTTTGTTAGATTTTTAACATGATGTATGATGACATTGACTTTCTTTTCCTAAATAAACAAAATTTACGTATGACGGCATTCATTTCTGCCTGTTATTCCATTTGGTTATGATTTTCTTTTCATTCGCATTTAGATATAGTCCGGCTACAGTGAAAATTATATTTTATAAATTTCACTAGTGGTTTATCAGAATATAATCATCTGATATATTGTAATAAAACACTGGAAAGCATGAAATAATTGACTGCATCAAAAGTAATAAGTTATTACTTTTGTTTAATCAGTGGTAAAAGTTTAAGTGAGTGAAAATAATTGACTAGTACTTTGCGTTTGTAAATTTATTTCTGAATTTATCTGAATTCTGTTTTATTATCTGATAAAAATTAAGTATGAATTCCATATTTCTTATGTAAATGTGTTTGTAAAATAAGGTTAATACACATATGTTTGACTTTAAATAATAAAAATAATGATTGCAACTTTGTATTTGCTGACACAATAGCTCAAAGCATAGAAATTGTTTGTTTTATTCTTGTTTGATTAAAAAAATTTTTTTATTAACCATAGAAAAATTATACTGCCAAATTGAAACTCTTGTAATATACTCTCAACTACATAGCCTTTACATGTATAAATTATTTGTATAAAGCAATGTATTGAAATAGTACCATGTATATATTAAACTTTCTTTCACTATAGAGCATATCAAAGACGAGGTGGGAATACTGGGCGCCCGGAAGGTAACACAAGACGGCTGGCTGACTTGAGAGATGATGATGATGATATGTCCACGTACAACGGCAACTCGACGCAACAGTTATGAAAACACACTGTATACGAACAATGTCAATAGATTTTAGTTTGGATTATTTAAACATGATAGAAGTGTCTGTTAATTACTTCTCATATATACATGTGTTATTTAGAGTCAACATTTTTCTGTTATACTACATTAAGCAAAAACTACACTATTTCTTGTGATAATGGGCAAAAGCTGATGATGGTGGTAAAAAGGCAGTTTGAATCATGTTAACTTTCTGGAAATTAGATGCTTATCAAAACCAGTCCATCGCTAGAAGATCACAACTTTAACAGTTGTAAAATATGTGATAGTTTAAAATGTGCGAAATGTGAATTGTTTATTATATCTGTGTTTGTCAGAAATCCATATCTGGGCTCAGCTCAAGGTGTTCCAGTGTGAGGGGGAGTGCACCTTAAAATATCATGAAAAACTTAACATGGGTTGTTAATTTGCAAAATTTTACATGTTGCATATTTTGTGTCAGAAAGTTGTATTAATTTTGAACAAGCAATTATCATAGTATTGCAAGCAATCCATAAGTCCCCTACCGGTAAGAGCCCAAGCAACATTCTGAAGGGCCATTGGCCATTCACTTAGGTTCCAATTTTAAGTAAATTTGTTGTAAAAGTTCTTTAAAAGTGATCACAGGAAACAGTTTTTATGTACAGACAGACGGACTGAAGGACACTCTGAAGTTATTTTTTAAACATATCGCTGTTATCAAAATATAACATTTTTAAAATCCTATCATGATTGAAGAAGTTGGAGTAAAAATTACCAATTTCTCAAAAAAAAGTCTAAGTTCAAAAGGGGCACAATTCTGGAAATAGTCTTGCTAGAGTATTGAACACTCACAAATGTTGAGTGATAATAAGAAACATTTATATGAAGTTTGAAGTAGATACATTCAGAAAAAGAAGTTATTAAAAAAAACAATGTTTTTTTCATGAAAATTTTAAGTTCAAGGGAGGTAATTCTGATAAATTTTGTGCTAGAGTTGTAAACCTTGTCACATATGATGTGGTTGATGACAAGCAACTTATATTTAAAGTTTGAAGAAAATACCTTAAGAAATAAAGAACTTATAGTGAAAAAACTTAAAAACTAGAATCAGAAATCTTGAAATTCAGTCTATTTGTTGCCATAGCAACCAGAATTTTCAACATAAGATAAGAAAAGGATGTGCATAATTTCCATACTGCCATCTACCCATATGTCAAGTTTCATAAACATATTTTCAGTACTTTTTGTGTTATCACTGGATCCAGGTTATGTGTAAAATTTGCCATATTTTCAGTCTATTTGTTGCCATAGCAACCAGAATTTTCAACATAGGAAGAAAAGAAAAAGACGTGCATAATCTCCATACTGCCATCTATCCATATATCAAGTTTCATAAAAATATTTTCAGTACTTTTTGCGTTATCGCGGGATCCAGGTTATGTGTAAAATTTGCCATATTTTCAGTCTATTTGTTGCCATAGCAACCAGAATTTTCAACATAGGAAGAAATGAAAAAGATGTGCATAATCTCCATACTGCCATCTATCCATATATCAAGTTTCATTAAAATATTTTCAGTACTTTTTGCGTTATCGCGGGATCCAGTTTTGTGGACGGACGGACTGACTGACGGACGGACAGACAGACGGACAGAGGGTAAACCTAAAGTCCCCTCCGGTAAACCGGTAGGGGACTAAAAAGCTTATCATAATACTTTGTATGTTAATTTTGTGAGTTTAAAACAATGTACTGTAGAGTATTATTATGTTACCAGTTCTTAAAGCAGCATACCTACAGATTCATACTAATTTGTATGAAAATTTTGAAAATATATTAAAAAGCAAAATATTATGAAGTGAATAAGGAAAGTAATTTACACATTGCAAACAGCACTTATAAAATATGATTGTAAATACTGCAAAATCACTCATGTTAATTATTTCTTAAAATCATAGTACATTTTTCTCTTTTTGTTTTTCTTGAAATATGTTGGCTAATCTTGAGGCTGCATGCAGCTTTAATAATATGGTACAAAAATGCATTTCAACCCAGGTTGTAGTCTTCATAGCAGTCATATTGTTACGCTTTAAAGGTATTATATGCAAATTTTTTTTGACAAAAACAAATATTAAACTTGATATTTTTTCTTGCGCTCTGTTTGTGCTGTATTAAAGTGCTATAACAAAAAATAAATGTATGTATGCATGTGATTGTTGTACATAGTTACATTTTTATTTATCAGAGATAAAAATACCATTTTTGTTGATGTCATACTTTATTTATAAAAGATTAAAAGAAAAAAATCTCAAAAGATATTTTTTGTTCATTTTAGTCAATACAATATTATCATATAAATGAAGAAAAAGTTAACATTTCATATCTTTATAAATATGTGTCTTTAATGTTACAAGATACAGAATCTGCTGCTGCAGCCTTGTCCTTCCTCAGGTGAGGGTTGTGTTCTTTGTCTTTCAACACTTCTTTATACACCTTTGGTGTTCTATCAAGAATTATATCCAGCATTTGCTCTGTATTAGATCAACAGTGGACAAAATCATGATAATGGGGAATCGTCTGACAATACCACATAACATTTGATATATAACATGTATTAATAATGAAATCTGTTTGATATGAAGACCTTTATAAAACGAAGGTTTAACTTGGAAATAATGTAAGTGAATATACAGCTTTACTGCGTAGCTTCCGTAATAAAACTAGGTTAATTGACAGAAAATTAATTCAAGAAAAAGTCACATCAACCATGCCAAAAAGTCCTGCTCATTTCTTCAAAAAAAAAAGTGTAATCTTGAGCTTCAATAGAACAGCCTGCTTGACTTGTCAGTACTTGATATTGCAATGTGAGGTGTTTGGAAATTTTGTTGGAAAAATTGTATTCTTTGACCAAAATTGGAGTTACGGACCCTCACAAATCATAGTGATATTTTGTCAAATAATGGAAATAAAACACTTATTGGGGTAAAATGTACAATAATTAGGTTATACAAAAAAAGAAGCCAATATCTGGCAAGAAAAAATTACTTCAAAATTATTTACCATTTTTCATTTAGGGTAATAATCAATGAAGAATTTTTTTTAGAAATATTTCAAGGGTTCAGTGAAAAAATTGAGATGGTACTCGATTAGGACAGTCCGCAAATATCATTACTAGGCAAGAAAGTTTACACTAATTGCTTAGTACTGGTTGGTTCCAGATTTAAGTGTTTCTGTGGGTTTATAGCAAAGAGGGCAATGATGACCCTTTTATCACACACTTGAGGAAATGGTCATCCTTGTTCAACAGACTGATGGATTGGAGCAATTTTTGGACTACCTTATGATCATTGCTTAACAGATTCATCAAAACATATTAAAGGTGTTTTTTTTCTATTTATAGCTCTGGCTGCCATTTTGTTAAGCAAACAAACCAGAACAATTTTAATGAAGGACATTGTTTAAAGTAAATTTCTATTTTCAGCTCTAGCTACCAATTTTGTTCAACTTAAAGTACCATTTAAGTACATCTTATCTTTATAGTGGACCAAGGGTTATTTCTGTACAGTCTCTTCACATTCACTTCAATTTGACAATTGTCTGACCAGACAAGTGTATCAAGTTTAAAGTGAAAAGCACTGATAGTTTGAGAAAATGTAACATTACCTAGTCCTACACATCTTCATCTGAAAATGGGTGTGGCAGGTAGAACTCCTCAAGGTTCATCTACAAATTAATTTTTTTTCCTTGAATGTGGAGCTATAGACTGATGAAAAAGAGAACAAACAAATTTCTATTTTGAACAATCATGCTTTTAATTTTTTGTAGTTGTAAAAAGTGAACCAGCCTATTTTCATAGTTGAATAGTCATAAATAACACCAAAACTAGAACTAGGTTCAAACAATATAAATAAACATGAAATTGAATAGTTTATAAAACAATCTATGCAGTATGCATCATTTTTACATATCATTTCATATATTTTTTTAACATATAATAATTCTGAAATATAAGATCACAGATTTTCTAACTTGGTCAAGATAATTTCTTTAAAACCTTTCAACAAATTTTCACAAAACTGAAGGTGGTTTATATTTATAACAAGGCTCTTAACTACACCTTTAACCTGCTGAATGTATGTTATATATTGACCCAGCTTTGATTTTGGAACAGTCCATTCAAAGTGTAATATCAAATTACAAATGAAATAAGCTACCAATAATATATAGGTAAGTCAGACTGCAAAGGTGTGTAGGCTAGCCAAACTTTTTATTCTTGATTTTAATACCAGCAGGTTAAGATCGTTTTTAAGACTACATTTAATTATGTAATCTGATTGTAACCTTCTCCATAACACTGTGTTATGGGGATAATAGTAATAATTAATAAACAATTGATTATAATTCTGATAACAATTTTTTGACAGAACAGTAACATCATAAATATTTCCTTTCTAAAGAAAGATGAAAGAAATCAAAACAGAAAACTGTGCATTTTGATAATAATTAATGGTGAATCAACAATATTCTCAAGTGAGATAAAAGAAGTCTTCCCAGATACAAATCTGTGACCTTTTTCTTTGAACACGATTTTAATAACATTCTCTTCTTGTAAATGTTGACAAGGTGATAGAAAAATAGTGAATTCAACTTTAAACCAAAGTTCAGTGAAATGATACAATTTTTTGTTTGATTTTTGTACAGTCTTAAATTCTATTAGATAATTGAGCCGCGTCATGACAAAACCAACATAATGGGTTTGCGACCAGCATGGATCCAGACCAGCCTGGGCATTTGCGCAGTCTGATCAGGATCCATGCTGTTCGCTTACAAACCCTATTACAAGTAGAGAAACTGATAGCGAACAGCATGGATCCTGATCAAACTGCGCGGATGCGCAGGCTGGTCTGGATCCATGCTGGTTGCAAACCCATTATGTTGGTTTTGTCATGACAGGGCTCATATCATTTCAGTCAATATTAATATATAAATGCATTCATGGAGTCAGAGTATTTTTCATGCAAAATTAGACCCACATGTATGCTATCTATTTCATTATAAAACATTATAATAAAAAAAACCATAGGAATGACAAACATTTTCCTGAATCTAGCTGTTATTACATACTGTTTGACAGGGTGCTATTTGTTAACACATAAAGTTATACGTGTAGATATGTTTTTAAACCTGGAACTTTAAATAATTAATAGTCTGTATTTAAAGAAATATACATGTATTGTTAAAACTAACGCAGAAATGGTCAACATTGTTATCACATAGCAAATAACATCTCTACTTTAAATTTTAATACATTTCATCATTATTAATTTGTAATAAAAAAAAACTAGATTGTATGGCACATTTTAAAAAAAAATTTAACAAGCACTTCTTTTTTTTTTATAATTTATTGAAATCACTTTTAAAGAGTTTACTGATCAATTCATTTATAAAACACACAAAAAAATGCTTATAAATAACATGTAATAACTATTTTTTCTTCTTCTTTTAGTTACTATGGCAATAAAAATTATAGGCTACTGAGCTTTAAGAAATTTGAATGTACACTAGTTACACAGACAAATTGTGTAAAATCCATTAAGTTCTGTTTGAGTACACAGAAACTTGTAAATTCTACTGATGGTCATTTACAAAAACAAACATTGTAAATACCATTTAGCACATGATTGTTAAAGCAACTTTCCCTCTGTTCATAGTTTCTAAAAAAAAAAAACATGCTGTGTATAAAACTAATATAAGCTACCCTTATCCCAAACAAAAGCACTTCTACAGTTCTTTGTTTTTACACCTAAATGACTTGTTTAAACTAGACACTTCTACAGACTTTCAGATCTAAAATTTGATTAATGGCTACGTGCATTGACTATATATTATAAAACTAATGACAGATAGCCAGCTATCTCGCCGTTGACAATGTTTAAAGTGAGTAAGTAACTAAATAAAGATCTTCATTCTAATCAATACCTACAACATGAATCTGAACGCATCACAAGGCAACTTAATATTGCAGTAGGCCAAAATATTCTCAAGATTGTTGCTATTCTTAAAGCATTGTTGCACTATTCTAATTGTCTAAAAACTTTCATTTCAACATTCATGTTTGGAATTATTCTAAAAGTTATTATGCATATCATTTAAAAAAATTGCTCAGTATTTCAAATACTTGGGTAATTCAAAAGATTCAGTATCAGGTGTATGTAAAGTTCTTACAAACCATTCTCGTTTAATATACACAATCACATTCAGATCATGATTTTGTTTTGAACATTTGTCAAAATCACTAGATAATACTTTATCACTTGGCAATATATGTAAAGTAAGTTCCAATATGACCTCTTTGAGTACAGGTTACATGTTTACTGATATCAGTAAATACACAGAGGAGTTAGTATGCAAAAGATCTATGGCCACAAACTTAACTCCTCTTTAAAACCATGACAACATGATGATCCAACTTCTAATTTATGTTTTGTATTTGATAGGTCATAATGGAACAGCTTTGTGTATAAAAGAGAATAAATTGCTTATCTTAAATATGAATTTACAGATACTATAAGTTCCATTAAAACAGCAATTTGACAATGTTCAGTTGTTATTTTATCATCATATGTGATGAATGTGATGAATAATGAAATTGTTTTTACGTATTTTTCATGCCAATAAACAATAAAGTAAAAAATCTTCAGTGCTGTACATCGACAATATAGTATTAAACAAGTTACAATTTAAAATGAGGTCTCATCTCAAGCTGTATATACAGTGCAAGCTCCTTACAATATCCAGAAACTATCCAATCTAAATTCTTGTTGCTTAATTCTATTTCATTATTTTGGTCCCTCTTTAAAGGTCATACTAAATTTGACAAAATGTGTCCCAAATACAAGACAACATGATCTAAAGCACTAAACAATCAACTAATGTTTGAATCACTGTGTAGGCAGCATCCTTTTTTTCCATGAATATCTTCCAGATTCTCAAATATAATTTAACTCTTTTTTTTTTTTTTTTAAATATAACAAATATTTTTTTATAATATAAAAATTACAATGTGCATGAAACTGATTAAAGAATACACCTTTTATTCTAAATAACCTTTTCAAACTACTCATTTTTTGGTTTTAATAGCAGTTTCTTAAACCCCACTTAGAAAATCTTGCTTTGTTATTAGTTAAAAACAATGACAATTTGAAATACAGGGACTATTGCAGTTTGCTTACTAAACAATCAGGATGAAATTCATAAAAAAAAACAATGCCATCTAATAACATGAATTCAAACAGTAAATGCCACTAATATCACAGTCAAAATACATATATATATAATTCTTATTTTGTAATACCAATTTTATATACACTACTGGTTATACCAACAACAACAACAGAAAAATGCAATAAATATAACTGGAAAAATATAACAACTTTCTACAACTTTAAATCTGAAAAAACCCGAAATCACAACACAAGTTCATTTATATTTATACAATATTGTAATAATTTTTATACATGTTCTTTATCTTATTCTATTTTTAACAGGAAAAAAAACACAGGCCCAAGACCATAACTAATTTCATATAATTTACAATTCCTGTATTGTCTATTGTATTCTAACACTAACTAGATGACAGGGCATAAGTAAGTATCTAAAAGTACTGTAAATACAGCGTTCTGTCAATCTTATACATGTACATATATATTTTTTCATTAAAATACATTGTTATCTTGAATCCATTCTTCTCGTTTTTGACAAAAGGTGAATACACATATATTTCACAGGGAAGAATCACAATAAAAAATAATATCTAAGAATCTTTAAACCATGACGATTGAAATTAATAATTCACTACCAAATTATCATTCCACATTTTGAAAGCGATTATGCATGTATAAACTGAAAGATGTTTTTTTAACCATTATTATTATTTAAGTAGTTTTGAAACATGTAGTTTATATTATTATGATATTATAAGCAACAGTATTATGCATCAACTCTTGTGAATAGGCACACACAATTAGATAAAATCTACTGACCATTTGATCCTCAGACCAAATATGAAAATCTTTCAATGAGCAAAAAAACAACATTGTTCCTGATTTAGTAATGCAAACACGAGACAGTGAAAATAAACATATTCATATATAAGTTAACATTTTTAACAATGAGGCAGTGACATTGCCAAAATAAATGTTTGCAAGTAGTAAATATAGAAAATAGTTGGTGATCAAGTCATGGTAAAGTGAGACAAAATACAAGTTAACTGTGATCAATTTGTTACATAAAGAAATTGAAACAGAATTTCACATCATACTATCATTTTATAATAGGCAAAATAAAGAATTTTGAAACACTTAACTTTTAAAAATTGCAAAATATTTATGAGATAATATAATATAACGAAACATATTTTAATCTAGCTTGAATGCAATAAATTCTTAAAGCTTATTTGAACACTCCCCAGACAGCTTTGTGGAAATAACCAGTACTGGAATCATATCAGGCAATTTCAGGTCAGCCTTTGACAAAAATGTAAAATAATAAAGGAAAGCCCCGCATATTTTAACACTTCATTTCAGATTTTTACAAGCACAGATTTATTCTTTTGTTCACATAAACAATTATGAATTCACAGATGTTGTCAGTTTTTGTGTATATAACTTATTTTAAAATTCTTTTCCTAACAAAGTTTTGTTTCAGTGCAACAATGCTGAAGATGAATTAAACAAGAAAATTAAATATACATGGTAAGTAAATAAATAAAACTAGAATATCTATATATTTATGAAAATAAACTAATAAATCTACAATATAACAGAAAAAATACAAAATATAAAGCTAAATATGTAGAAAACTAATATTCTATAAACTAAAATCAAACAGAAATGCATTTTAAGACAAGCCAAAATACTATTCTAAATAACTCAACACTATTCTACAGGAAAATCAAACACAAAAACATTAAACATCAATATCTCAATTGGAAGAAGAACACACAGATAAATATACATATACACATGTACATGTAAATAAATTTAATATATACATGTTAGTAAACTTCATATACTATACTAGCATATGTATGATGCCAATATTGTGGGATTCATACAAATCTCGTATACCTGCACATGAAAAATATGGCAGACATGTTACCTTCTTGTTTCTAATAAACACTAGTTACTCACGGCTGGTCCCAAAGGCATCATGCAGTTTAAGTAGTTCAAAGGGAGAAGTGCCATTCTTACACCCTCAATTATTTATTAACATAATTCAGTAATATGTATACACTTTCCAAATAAAATTGCAGTTCCCCTCACATTTAATTAAAATTCATCTCCTAATGTCTCCTTTCAATTTGATCAAATTTTTTAACGATGAATATCTCAAAACAATTTTATATAGTATATCAATTGTAAATAAAAAATTATGAGTGTCCAGACTCTTTTTAAATCATTGATGACTTATTTGCTTTAAAATTTTCATACTGAATGTGAAAAAATGAGATTACTAAACATAGAATCAGCAGTTGACCTTTACAATTTTTAATATATTTCTTTTCGCAACATTTGTGACTTTAAAGAGGAGTTAAAAAAAAGATCTGTTTGTGGAGAATGATTTCTACTACTTTTAAAACCTAACTACAGCAGTTTTATAATAAAATTTATATTTACATCTTCTGAAGGCATGACACAGCAGCATGTGGCATTTAAAAGGACTCCACTGAGGTTTTTGACTTGACAGACCGAAAATTTGTTTCTCAAGATTTGTAAACCATTCTGCTTAAACTTCCAGATCATATGCTCTCTCTTTCTGTTTTTTCCCCCAGAATAATAACTGAAATTGGACCGAGATTGGCACCAAAAAATAACTTTCACTAAAATTCAGAGTGTATTCCTTTATCATAGTTTGCTTATTTTTCTGTTTAAGTGCCCATGTTTATATTTGTATGAATTCAGAATTTTATAACTTAAGACTTTTGTAACTTGATTGAGTCCCTATAACCTGTGTATGTGTTACATTTACGGATTTTTCATTATCTAACTTTTTAATGCTCGTAAATCTTTCATTTTAAGTAACTGTGTCTACATTCACATTAAAATATACTAAACTATAACTCTTGCAAAATATTTGCAAAACTTAAATCTTAAACAATATAATTGCAGTAAATTTGATTCACAATTTGATCTTAATAATAGCATAAGCAGTGATATATGCTCCGTCATGAGAATATTTCATTTAACAATCAGTATATCTATCAATTACATGTCTGCAAGTTTTGCTGTTTATCTTTTTACATTTCCTAAACATTCTCTTTTACAGATTCTAAATATTCTCTTTTACAGATTCTATAACATTAATTTTCCTCTCTGCATTTCATTTTTTAAATAGTCTTTAACCGCTTTTTTTTATTGCAACATGTACTTAAACAATGTACTTAAATAGTCATTTAATCAGAAAAGTAAAAAGATTACACATTTACCCTGATAAACATGTTATGCCTAAATCATGTACAAATTAAGAATTGAGGCTCCCAGGATATAAAGCTGTCTTACTTTGATGCTTTATGAAAATTTCTCAGATGTTTAATTCAGAATTTGAGAATTTGTGAACTACTAAAAACAGGTGTACAGACAACTGATATTGGTCACTTTAAAATTGAAATTCATAAGACAACCAATCAAATGACGGGTTTTAAGACAGGTATTTTAAAACTCTTAGACCAGTACAATACAGCAGATGTCAAAATTCAAGTTTTGATTTTAACAAACAATGATTTGTGATGCAATGTATATAAATTAACATGATCTAAATATGAATTGAAATGATTTTGAATAAAAATAGTTTTGATATATACACAACATATAGGAGCATTAAGGCAGTTGTACATCTAAGTGGAGACAACACTAGATAAATATGACGCTTTTAAAAACATTTAAATAAATAACACAAAGAATCCAATGTTACAATCAACATTTTCTTCAGGTGATGTTATATATAGCTGCACATTTAGACATTGTGTGAAAATATTGCTTCTTCATTTTCACTGATTTGTGACAAATACACAAGTCAGATAAACAACAACATATACATAAGGTAAAAGTAAGTAGTAATATTTGGGTGAGATATGATAAACTTCTGATAGTAGGTCTTATTTCTAAGTATACTTTAAATCGTTCATCCAAGTCAATACCTTAACTTTCAATAGTATAATATATCTAGATGAAACTGCTTGTAAAAATGTCTCTATTATACAATTTCAATTTTCAATTATTCATATTTTCCAAGATCTCTGAACAAGTTTGACCTAATGCCTTTTAAGAAGTTTGATTAAAAACACAAATAAATCACAGTGTGTTAAACATATATTGCATTTTATATTCTTTGAAACACATAAAAATAACATAGGCTAAGGCCATGGCAACCTATTCAGCAACTATTTTTTATATACAAGTTTAAAGCTTAATTGGTTTTGTATCATTTAAGCTATATGGTCCCTAAATAAATTAAACCACGTTGACAAACTTTGGCTAATTCCATTATATATTTTAACTTGAATAACATTTATGCATAATCTATACAGCAGTGAAGTATGGGGGTTTTGATGCAAAAAAAATAAAGACTGCATAATTTTATAGGACCAATTCTGGTTTAAAGTACAATGAAAATTACACTATTTGTGGGGGTTACAATGTAAAATAGCACTGAGAAAAAACAACAAAGGAAATTAAGATTCTGACTAGAGAGAAATAAAGGTGTACAAGACATAAATACTGTAAAAACATTTGCTTTGAAAGACACACATCAATGTAGTACATTTACATTAAACATCAGATGAATTGCTTGCAAAAATAAACATGATTTTCATATACATATATATATATTTATATTCTATATAGAGAGGGAAAAATGTACGAGGTTACATTGTGCATATATCTATTGCTATAATTTGACTAATTGCACAAAGAGAAGTCTATGCAAAATATTTAATAAATATTGGAATGTTTATATCACAGAGCTTACAACCTAAATAACATACATACTTTAATATAATATTATTTTAAATTACTTACAATGCTACACATATGACGAGATAAAATCATTTTAAATTCCTCTAAGCCAATTTCTCTTTGTTTCTTTTAAAAGAAGAATAATGCACAAATTTTGATATATTAGAATATGAAAAACCTTACATGTTATCTATATCTAATAAACCTGCCGGAGTGCAAATAATTGGAAGTACATTAGAAAAAAAAAACATATTCACAATAGTAGCTGATCAGGAGACATGGTGAGCAATAAACACAAAAATATAGTATGATTTCATCTCTACATATGCAATAACAAGCACAGATACATTTCTGAGGATTATTTTAAATTTTCTGATGCACTGTCAACCGTGCATGTTTTACCTTAAAATAATGACTGGTAAAGGGGTACAAGAAAAATGACCAAATAAACTCTTCTTTTTTAAAGTGTCCCTTTTTTGTTTTCTCTACCATTGTGATTGTTTTCTTTATATTTCAGTCTAAAATATTTTGTTACTTTGAACAAACGTCTCTTACTTATGCTTAAGTGTAAAAAGGAAAGCATTCAACTTTTCAAATTGTCAACAACAAAAAAAAAATCAATATCACATCTATTGTCAGACCTAATTAATATTAAACACTATTTACTTACTCAAACCAGTAAATAAAACAAATAAATATTATACTTATCATCATCATATCTAATTGATAACGAACACTATACAAGGAAAACAAGGTTAACAATTGAAGATTTCCAATTGTCTTAAGCATAACTACATATTTTTACACCACAATCTCATGTATGACTGTATGTATAGCTTATTTATATTTTAACTAATCAAATATATTTCTCTATTTACCTACACAGTGCTAGTTTTAAAAGCCATTTAGCTTTTCTAAGTTTCAAATGTTTACATATATCTAACTTTAGGCACAACAATAATAAGACCAGGAAGACAAAAACACTTAGATAATAAATCTCAACTTGAAAATTATGTTCACAAGATTTATATAGCATCATTGAATGATCATACCTAACTATAAATAACCATTTCTTTACTCCTTAATATAATAAGTTTAGATTACAATTAAAACAAAAGGTCAAATTGATAAAATACAATATGTGATTAAATGAAAAAAAACATCAGTATTCTAAATGATAAACTGAAAAATATGGCATCAACTATCACTTTCTCTAGATGCAAGAAATAATTTTTACATAGGTTTTTCAAAAAGTCTTACAATAATATTAAATGATTTATAACAATTATAATGAGATTCCCTAATTTCTTCACAACTGAAAGTAAAATTGAAGCAAATTGTCAAAATAAATATTTGAAAAAGAGTAAAGGAAAAGAAAAAAAAACATCATAAAGTATTACCTGAGCATTTCACAGCATTTTAATACAACTGCTCACAAAATTGTAAGTTACTTTGAAATCTTCAATATTTGTGATTGGCATAATCAAAGATAGCTCTACTTGCATTTGTTAGGTCATGACCAGTTAAAAGAATAAGACAACAAAATCCCAAATACCTTAATATCTAAGAAGTCAACTTTATCAAAAAATTAAATATGGTCATTAAAGTTATAAAGAAACCTTATCCCAACAATACCTGGTAACTTGGTAAGTTTACGATATTAAAAATAACTAAAGCGTAACCACAAAAGCAGTACTTTATCTGGGAAATAAATGTAAAATAGTTACTCTATTCAATGCCTCACAACATTAAAAATGTTCTACAGGACAAGCAATCTAAAAGCACTTCTGTAAAGTCATTTTCTCTAATACAACCCTTAATACTTAAACCCTGATAGTTATTCAGCTTCTTCCTGGATCCGTTTTATTCTACAGGAGTGTTTGTCCGACTTGTCCTCACTACTACATGGTTTGGCACAACTCTGTAGGTTTTCAGTCCGTCTGCCTGCTGTAGTACAATACCCTGCTTCTCAAGGTTTGGATTATCTTTTGTTGCCATCTGTAGGGCACACCAGTTAGCAGTTCTAGCCTTACGTGTCAATACAGTCAACTCAGATATAGCAGCTGCCAATGCTAAAATATCTGAAAATAAGTGTGCATAAAAATTATGAAATCAACTGAGTAAGTAAATTAAATTAGAGGCCACACACTAGTTTTAATGATTACAGGTTAGTTTATACCCTTATTGTGTTTTAAGAAAGGAATTTGGATTTCTGAAATGAAATCATACAGAGAAACCATTTAACCTGTACTAACAATAATCAAATAGTGTGCACTCTAATGATTTGAATAAAATTTTAGTCATATGAAATATATTTTTTTTTATAAGAAGTACACCTGTGCAAATAAGCAAGAATTTAAGATACTAAAATTCCCATTAGAATTTTGAGGCTTTTAAACATTACTTTAAATATGAACTTATACTGTTAGATTCATAATACATTGGTGTACAATAACAAAACTGCCAACACAAATTAATGCACTTTATCAACTTATGTATCAATAAGAACTACTGTAGATTATAAAATTTTTACATAGAACATAATCTTAGGTAAGGTTTACTTGACTTTTCATATATATCCTTACCTTTTTCATCATGCTGCCTTGGGCCACCATTTCTATGTCTGTTGGCTGAGTTCACAATCTCCTCTTTTCTCCTGGCCTGTACTTTCCTGATAGCTTCTAGCCACCTCTCTAATGATGAATGTATGCTGGGATGTATATTCATATCTCGCAATTTCTCCATTTTCTCTATCAGTGTTATTATCTGAAAAGGTCATGCCATGTATTGTTTTATGAAATTAAACTATAAAATGAATGTTATATATTATCTAATCTTATTATTATATATTATCTAAGAAAACAAGTGAAATCACTGAAATATATTCCCTAACACTCACTTTAGTTCTCTTTCAATGCCATAAATCTATGAAATCTTTTTATTTTATATTCATCAAATTATGGAATACACCTTACTTTGTACAGAATAAATTATATCCTACAGTTGTTAGATATTTTTTTCTTTTTGGAACCTTTAAATTATTTGTATTAAATTTATATTTACTACTGGTGGCTTACTAATTAATAACAGATTTTACCACAAACCCACAATTTTTTTGCAATTCACTGACCTTTCACTGTTGTACATATATTTTGACATTTGCGTTATTGTAACATAATGTAATGTCACACTAAATTTTTTTCAACTGAAAGCTGTTCTTATTTTGGGTATGTGATATCAGTGTTTTTTTCTATATATAACTACTACCCTAAAACGGTACCATTCCCAATAGAAAAAAAACATTAAAATTCCCAATTTCCAATGTTAAATTCCCAAATTGGCTGTTCAAAATGCCCACATGGCCAAGTGATTTTTCTTAAATCATTTAAATCCAACATATTCATATAAATCACCACTCAATAGTTCTATCTGGACAGTAGAAGCTGTTAGCTATCTTTATTCATGATGTCTAATCTCATTTGTAGCTGAAAAAATGCATTAAAAAAATTCCCAATTTTAGTCAAAATAACACGTTTTTTTCCCAATCAGTCTGGTACCGGCATCATTCCCAAAGTAGAGGAAAAAAACGCTGGATATATTGAATATCATATTTGTGTAGCTAAATCCCGGAGTTGAATAAAACAATATTATGCGAGCCTCTCTTCAATGATTATCCACTATGTATTGTATTGCACTGTATTGTATTGATTCTCAAGTCTAGAAAAATATAGACTTAAAAACTGTCTCCTACCCTTGCATGTTCTTTGAAAGAGTCTACAACAAGCCTATCAACACGTGATGGATTTGACGGCAGTCTGGGTACAACAATATTGTTTGCACTTGATACTTTCTTCCCAGGATTCTGTCTCGCTAATTCTGCTTCAGTCTGATATATAACAACAAATGTGATTACAACAATAAATCCTTATTTAGTCACATACTTTATCATCAAGAAGTTATAAATGACTTCATTTCCAGCATATAAAATGGCACAATAAACTGAAATAACTCTCAGGTTGAAACACTTTCCCTTTACATTCTATTTATTTAATTTACTTGACTTACTACTTTTCAGCAAAAATTGGCATATTTTCATACAACAAACTTACAATTTATATGCTAGTAAAGAGCTTTTACCTTTTTCCTCTCTGTTTCTACTTGCTTAAACTGCTCATAGCATTCTTCCAGTTTGGTATGTAGTTCATTTGCTGGTCCACTCCTTCTAAATACAGACAGAGAGATATAAATTTCAAATATTGCAAACAGATTTCGAATGTCTGAACCTACTCTTGAAAAGATCCAAGAAACAACTGCATATATAGAAGATTACATCTATGATCAGTTTAAATTGCTATTCTGTCTACTTTCTACTAACTGATCAAATAAACATAGTTCTCATAGAAACAAGCAGATTCTTTTAGCATTGATTGTAATAGACACATACGGGTTATCTATTGAACAAAAAAAAAAGATCCTCAAAGAGTTGACTAAAGTGGGTCTACATTCAAATATTCAAATAAAAAAAACCCATCTAAAACATGGGAGAGCAAAAAGCATACATTGAAACCATAGGTAAACAAAATATATCAATTACTGTTTTCAAGTAGAATGTTACTAAGAACTGAGATTTCACCTATAGTTAACATTTTCTTCACATAAAAAGAATCAAGTTGTTTACCTTTGTTGCCTGAATGTAGGTACGAAAGGAGGATAGCCATACACATAACCTGGCTGAACACCTTGGTAAGCCATGTCTGTATACTGTACTGGAATCATACGCCCAAATGCATCAATTGCTACCAAGTCGAAACCCTCTGGTGGTATAAATGGCTGCTGTAGTATGGTACCAGGTGGGAGCATTAATGGGACTTTTGGTGCCGGATACTTAAGAAGTTGTTGTTGTGGTGGTACAGTCGTTAAAAGATGTGGTGTTTCAACCATTACTTGTCCACCTATAACATCTGTTTGAAGTTTATCAGACTTCACATTTTGTGGGTCAGATCTCCCTTGTACTGTATACAGCTGTGTTGTTGTTGGTACTGGCTGTATAAGTACTGTTTGAGATGACATGTTCTCCATATTTGTAAGTACTGATGGCACATATTGTAATGGTTTTGAAGTACATTGTGACAACATCTGTTTGCTGGCAATAGAAGCATTGTCGAAACCTTGCAATTCTGATGCAAGACTACTGTTAGAACTCATAGGGATTGAGCCAGGTGTGCTTGGGTTAGACCAGGCAAAACTGCTGCTCTGGGCACTAGAAACTCCACAACTACTTGCTGTTTGAGTCAATATTCTTAATGGTTGAGTTTTATGATTGACAAATGAATTCTTGATATTTCCATTTGTGTCTTGCGACAGTGAAAGAGTGCTCTGGCTTCGGTTAGATGCCGTTACAATTGGCTTAAAGTCTGTATTTCCATTAAGAAATGAACTCTGTGTTACCTGACAAGTATTAGGAGAATAAAGATCTGCTCTGTCAAAGTTGTACTTTAACATATCTTCGTCTGTAATTCCTTTATCACCTCTAAATGTGAGAGCACGTTTTGCTGAGGAATTGGTTAGAGATTCTGCAATACTTTTTACATTATTCAATAAGTTTTGAGTCTGCTGAAAATTGTCTGAATTGTGCTCAAGATCACATTTTGAATTCACAAAAGGCTGAAATGCTGAAGTTATTGAAGTTGAGTCTGGTTCAAAATCTTTGTAAGCAGCTATCCCTCGATTAGGTGTACCCATCTGGACATTATTGAAATGGGTATTAAAATCCCTTAGGCCATTTCTTACATCAGACTGATCAATATTTTGTGCAATGTTCTGCATCTCAAGAAAAGAATCTGTGTCACTGGATTGCCTGCTAGATTGAGAAGTATATGAAGAAATGCTGCTCCTTTCTGAAAGTCTCCTACGAGAAGGTGTTGATGGGACTGGTGAGAAAAAACTAAAGCCTAACTCATCACTTGTGGTACACATTTGTTGGTTCCTGAAGCCTGTTGCATGCTTACCCACCTCAACATGCTACAATAAAATATAAGTTATAATAGATCTTTTTATAGCATAAATTTTCAGTAGAAAGTTCATTATTTGGGTTTTTACACAAACTTGAACAGTAAATACCAAATTCTCCAAAAGCTATAGACAACTAATCTCAAATAATTGCAGAATTAGCTGTGAGAGACAATGAAAACTCAATGTCCCAGATAAGTTGTCGATAAGTTGTGAAGAAGAAATTGCACCTCACAAGTAAATATATATATATAACTTTACTGTGACATATTATATTCGATAGTTAGTGAAAAGAATATATCAACTTGAGTGACTTTGCACTTATTGAATTTAAGATTTTAAATTTATTGGCCCAAATTCCAGTTTTGTATTTATTCTACTATATATTTAACTAAATTTTCTTTAATTTACACTGGCCCGAACTAATTTTCACTGGCCATGGGCCACCGTGCCAGTGCAAAATTTGATGACTGCTTCGGCATACAAGGCATTATATTTGCCTAAAACTGACAAGATAATATTTCATTGTGTGTATAAACAACAATTTTAAGCAATCAGTCCGACAACTTGAATACAAGGGATAGTACTGCAGGCAGTAGACTAGTATTAGAACTGTGATGATTAGTCGGATGATCAGATATTCGCGATTCAGACCATAACAATATGGATTTGTAAACCCTAGGTCGCTGAATCGTGATTCAAACTTAAATCATTAAAAGCCCTAATTACTGTTTAATTAATGTATAAAACCTTCAAAAAAAACTTTCATTTCAATATTTAACTTCCTCCTGTTTACATTTCACATGCATTTACCCTGTTCTCAATTTATTTTCAGCTTAAACATTAAAATATTATTAAAGGAACAATGTAAGTCATTACTGATATTCATTTTTTTTTTTAAATATGCAAACAACAATTAAATTTCATTTAGTATTCATAACAAGGAAATTTTTTGTGGTTCAATTTGAGAATCATCAGGACTAAATGGCGGATCTGATCACCACTTGGCTGGCAATACACAGCTCTAATAAAAATTGTAAAGTTTCATTTTTTAAAATCACACAAATGTTAACAAAAATAACCCTGTAAAATTAAACAAAAAAATACAATTTTCTTGATTACTTTATGTTAAACTAAAAGACTGATTTTCCAGAATGTTTGGAATCTAAAGTCACATGCCACAAAACTGACCTGTGATACTGGTCCGCCCACTGTGTTTAATCTGGAGGAAGGTCTTGTAGCCTGAATGGTCTGTTTGTTGTAAAGCTTATCCTCCCAATAGTTAGGTGTACTGTGTAACTGACCAGCAAAAGGTAATGGAGATCTAACATCTGATGCCCGTAAAGATGCACTGTCTTCTAGACCTGCTGACCATACACTGCTCATGCTGAAGTCAACATTTCTAAATACACAACAATTTAAAGGTACTATCTTTATATGCATATCATAAGCTTTAAGAACATATTTCTCTGCTGTTCAAAATATCAATACACACAAACAGCAAGGCATAATTAAGAAAATAAGTTACAAATACATGTACATTAACTTAACATTTGTTACTTGAGTTATTTGGACCAAAAATATCCCAACAAACATTTAAAACATTGCTCTAAATAGGATTATTTGAGCTGGTAAATTTCAGTACAGGTACAATGTTTTTTACTTTCAATTACTTTTTATTTTTCAAAAATATAAATACTTTTTAGCCTTTCAAGTAGTTTTTAACTACATTTTATGATAAAAGCAATTTTACTTTTATCATAACTACCAATGATACCAATGAAAAAGAAGACTACATTGCTGTTGTTTTTATTTTTTATTTTTTTTAAATCACACTTTTCAGTCAAAATTGGGCAGATAATTAAGTGCAATAATTAAGTGAAAATCCACGTAAGAATTATAGACTTTGATTTGTGACCATTAATTATGATCTTGAAGACATGTGATAATTTTCAAATGAAAACTTTCAGTAGTTTTGAAAATTGATGTTGCATGGAGAATTTTTCAAGTTCAAAAAGGGCCATAAATCTGTCAAAATCAACACCAGGGCTTTGCACAGTGACCTATAAAATCTCAAATAAGTGAGTGTAGTTATCTTAATTCTTTAGTGGTCGATGAGATATGATGTTGTACAAGAAGTTGCATGTGACATGAGGTCAATCAACATTACCAAAGGCAACAATTTTAACACTTTACAAGGCATTGCACTTATCAATGAGATCCTTCTGTGAAGTTTCAAGTTAAAACCTCCACTTTTTTCCTGAATCTGGTTTACCCTTTTTTCAACTTTATAAGGAATGATACTATTTTTTCAGTTTTTTTCTTTATGCCAAATAGGCAATAAATAACTATACCTGTCAATGAAACTGTTTGATGCTACTCTACTTTTGCCATTGTCTGGTTCTGATGACCCCAGTCCATCAAAACCAAACAGAGAGCCATCATCTTCTACAATCTTGTTTACCAAGTCATCAAGACCAGAGAGTTTATCACTACTGCAGCTCGAATTAAGATTAAGTTGATCCAAGTTCAAGTGGTCGAAAAATCCAGAATCAACAGCTGATGCAGCACTCATGTTATGGCTACTTGCAGCTCCTGTACCAATCAAATTTAATCACAAAATTTTACCATTTAACAAAATGTAAGTACAAACAAGAGGGCCATGATGGCCCTAAGGTCGCTCACCTGTATATAGCCCCCCCCCCCCCCCCCCCAATTTTTACCCAAGGGCTTTTATTTGTTTATTTGAACAGACTTGGTAGACACCCATAAGAAGATGTTTCATGCAAAACATCTAAGTTCTAGCTCATTAGGTTTTTTAAAAGAAGATATTTTAAGTTTTTACTATACACATATAGTTAAAAACAATGACACCCCTCGGGCAGGGCCAGTTTTGACCCCTGGGCTTTTATTTGAACAAACTTTGTAGATATTTACTTAAAGATGTTTCATGCTTAATATCTAAACTCTAGCTATTTGGGTTTTTTCAAAGAAGATTTTTAAGTTTTTGCTATACACATATAAGGAAAATCAATGACCCCTGGGGCGGGGCAGGTTTTGACCCCAGGGCTTTTATTTGAACATACTTGGTAGACACCCATTAGAACATGTCTCATGCTAAATATCTTAGCTCTAGCTCTTTGGGTTCTTTGAAAGAAGATTTTTTAAGTTTTTACTATATGCATATAGGGAAAATCAATGACCCCCCGGGGCGGGGCCAATTTTGACCCCAGGGCTTTTATTTGAACAAACTTGGTAGACATTCACTAGAAGATGTTTTATGCCAAATATCTAAGCTCTAGCTGTGACGGTTCTTTAAAAGAAGACTTTTTAAGTTTTTACTATATGCATATAGGGCAAATCAATGACCCCCCCCCCCCCCCCGGGCCAATTTTGACCCCAGGGCTTTTATTTGAACAAACTTGGTAGACATTCACTAGAAGATGTTTTATGCCAAATATCTAAGCTCTAGCTGTGACGGTTCTTTAAAAGAAGATTTTTTAAGTTTTTACTATATGCATATAGGGAAAATCAATGACCCCCTGGGGCAGGGCCAATTTTGACCCCTGGGCTTTTATTTGAACAAACTTGGTAGACATTCACTAGAAGATGTTTCATGCCAAATATCTAAGCTCTAGCTCTTACAGTTCAATAAAAGAAGATTTTTTAAGTTTTTACTATATGCATATAGGGAAAATCAATGACCCCCTGGGGCGGGGCCAATTTTGACCCCAGGGCTTTTATTTGAACAAACTTGGTAGACACTCACTAGAAGATGTTCCATGCCAAATATCTTAGCTCTAGCTTTTACTGTTCTTTAAAAGAAGATTTTTTAAGTTTTTACTATATGCATATAGGGAAAATCAATGACCCCCTGGGGCGGGGCCAATTTTGACCCTAGGGCTATTATTTGAACAAACTTGGTAGACACTCATTGGAAGATGTTTCATGCCAAATATCTAAGCTCTAGCTCTTAGGGTTGATTAAAAGAAGATATTTAAAGATTTTTCTTTCGGTTGCCATGGCAACCAGAGTTCTGCATGGAATTAAATTCTTTGAACAATTTTTAAAGGTGACCACCAAAGGAACATTCCTGTGAAGTTTGGATGAAATTGGCTCAGTGGTTAATGAGGAGATGTCATTTAAAGCAAAAGTTTACAGACGGACGCCGGACGGACGGACGCCGGACGAAAAGCGATCACAAAAGCTCACCCTGTCACTTTGTGACAGGTGAGCTAAAAATATAGTAGTGAAATTGAAAATATTTTTTTCGAACTTGATTTCTACTAAATACTTTTCTACTTTATAAGATAGAGAGAAACTTTGGTATGGTTTACAGAAAATCCTTTATAAATCTTGCAAAAAAATAATAAAACTATATATCATTTTTATTTAATTTTGTGACTAATGCCCAACCAACAAAGCTTAGTGAGAAACATTTAAGTTGTTCAAAGGGAGCATAAAAGATATGCTTAAAATATTTCATAATCTAAATCTATGTTTATTTTCATGTACTTTATATTGTTACCTGCAGGTCCTGTTTCATCAAAAGAAGTGTTAAATGACAATGGATTATATCCATGCTTTTGTTTTGGTGGTACATGACGGGGTGGCAAACACTCTCCCCAGCTTGACTGAGCATCCTTCAGATTTGTCATTGCTTGTGGCGTAGATCTCTCAGAAGAGCTGTCATTCTGTAAAGATAAGGAGAAAGTTAAAAAAACCATGGTCACAAATTTTATTTCACAGTAAGGGGCCCTTTCCTAAAATTTTGTGATGTCACACAGTTTAATTCGGTATCGGCGGAATTGTGTTCACGCAAGTTATTACATGTCGCAGTATTTTCTGAGCTTTGATGCATCCTGGGGAAAAGTAGCCAAAATACCGCCATATCGAATTTCCGGAGGTACATTGAAAAAAAAAAAGACAAAGCATTTTCTACTTATATAGAAAGCAATAGTTATTTATTCTAAAAAATACAATACACACTTTTCCACACCAATATTTCTCCGAAGAAAATCTATGTAGTAGACAATGTAGAGAATAATTCACAGATATTGCCGAAGTTGAACGAGAGTGCAAAAATTGGAGACTTATGGGAAAAACTGAGTATCACCGAAGCGCGCAAAGGATTCTGCCCATTCTGAATGTGATTATCGTCTATTTTCAGAGTAAATTTGAGTCTTACATTTGATTTTTACAAATTTTGTTGGTCAAAATACAGGGGAAGCACATTTTATGAAGGGCAAGTAAATTTGAAGGGTAACTGACCCGGCTGCGCGAGTGACTGTAGAAATATTCATCAAGGCCTGAATTAGTGATGACACAAAATTAGTTTATCTATGATTCTATCTATATGAAGATCTAGATAGAATATTACCCAGCAGGCACTCAACGTTGTTTCAACGTTGAAATATGGTCGTGACGTTGTTCAACCAATATTCAACTATGGGCGACCATATGGATATATTGCCAATGTATATTCAACGTTGATACAACGTTGTTTATGGTCGAAGATTAACATTTAGTTTAATCATTATATAAACTTTATACCAATTATTTTGTGTTATTATTCCTTTATTCTAACCCTCACGTGATTTTGTCACTATAGACAAAGAAGGAAAAAAACTGGTGTTAAACTGCCAATAAACACCGGTTATGGACTACTTGTATATGCGCTGTTATTTTTTCACCCTCGATTGTATAGTTTACAAAGCATTTTAAAGCAACAATAAAAAGCATTTTTATTTATATTTTCAGTTCGTAAAATGTTTTCTTTTCATACAATACCGAAATAATATCTCACATACACTAACGCCACATATCAGATCCATATCAGTCAATAAATATTTTGACAAAACGGCGCCAATCTGTAAGCAGCGTAATGACGTCATCCTAAGTAAACAACTAATTCATAAACAAGAGGGCCATGATGGCCCTGAGGTCGCTCACCTGTATATAGGCCCCCGGAGCAGGGCCAGTTTAAACCCCAGGGCTTTTATTTGAACAAACTTGGAAGACACTCATTCAGGGTTGCCAGCACTTTGGTGAAATAAAATTCCCTGACTTTTCCCTGACTTTTCACTGACCAATTCATGTTTTTCACTGACCAAAATCGTCAAACACATAAATGGCCCCCTGACCTCCCCTTTAGCCGTCCAATCCTCCCATTATATTTTTGCATGTAAACTTGTATTTATTTTCCAAAATATAAAACATTTACATCAAAGTAATGATTCAAACATTGTGTTCTACTATTCTTAACTATTTCTATTCAAACGCAGTGTGACTTTTGGTCAGTGAAACATATGACATGAAAATCAGAAGAATCATAATGTAAGCATCTGTATTAGAAATCACATAAGTCACTCTTTCCTTCCTAGTAGTAACACATAAAACACCAAGACTATAAGAGTAATACTTGTATGACAAAACTTAAAATTCAAACATCTCTAAACTATAAGAACAATAAACATTTAACACAGTTACTTGTATAAGGCATCATGATAAACTCCACTGATTGTGAAAACAAGAACATAGGGCTGTTTTGGCATATCATGAAATAATCACTATAAAATTAAAGACTTTGAATGAGTGAAGTACGTTAGTGTGAAAAAAAGTTAGTGTGAAAAACATAGCATTGCATAATTTAACCAGTTTCCATCATGTTTGCAAGACAAATCCTATTGTACAATTTCTTAGTGTCAAAGCAAAAAGCAAAGAAGGGCTTTTAATTACTAACAAAATCTAGTCAGTATACATGTATACCAAACTACCATATTGGCATATAACCTGCTTTGCTTTTTGCTTTGACACTAAGAAATTGTACAAGAGGATTTGTCTTGCAAACATGATGAAACTGGTTAAATTATGCAACAGAAATTACATATTAGTCAGCTCTGGAGGCAAGGGCTGCAAAGCTTTTCAGTCTTTAGGCTGAATGATGTTCTAAGGTAAATAATGGGTATTATAATCACTAAGTTAACATATAATGCTTCTTAATATCACAGTTTACTGTTATTTGAATTTAATGCTTAACTGTGAGAGTGATAAAGTCAAATATTAAATGCTTAAAGACTGCCATAGCCAAGAAAGACCTTCAATGCGTAAATTTTTCGACCTTTGAAATAATTTTTCCCTGACTTTTCACTGACTTTTCAGGATTTTCATTTTTCACTGACTAAATTTCAAAATTCCCTGACAATTCCCTGACCTTGAAAAAATACCCAATTTCCCTGACTTTTCAAGTCCGCTGGCAACCCTGTCATTAGAAGATGTTTCACAATGTTAAGCTTTTACTACACACATGTAATGAAAAACAATGATTTCATCCCCCTGTTCTCCCCCCCCGGCAGGGCCAATTTTCACCCAAGGGCTTTTATTTGAACAAACTTGGTAGTCATCCATAAGAAGATATTTCATGCTAAACATCTAAGCTCTAGTTCATTGGGTTTTTTAAAAGAAGATTTTGTAAGTTTTTACTACACACATATAGTTAAAAACAGTGACACCCCTGGGGCGGGGCCAGTTTTGACCCTGGGGCTTTTATTTGATCAAACTTTGTAGACACTTATTAGAAGATGTTTCAAGCTTAATATCTAACTCTAGCTATTTAGGTTTTTTCAAAGAAGACTTTTTAAGTTTTTACTACTGCATATATAGGGAAAATCAAGACCCCCCGGGGCGGGGTCAATTTTGACCACAGGACTATTATTTGAACAAACTTTGTAGAGACTCACTAGAAGATGTTTCATGCTTAATATCTAAACTCTAGCTATTTGGGTTTTTTCAAAGAAGATTATTTAAGTTTTTGCTATACACATATAAGGAAAATCAATGACCCCCTGGGCGGGGCCAATTTTGACCCCAGGGCTTTTATTTGAACAAACTAAGTAGACACACATTAGAAGATGTTTCCTGCTGAATATCTTAGCTCTAGCTCTTTGAGTTCTTTCAAAGAAGATTTTGTAAGTTTTTACTATATGCATATAGGGAAAATCAATGACCCCCTGGGGCGGGGCCAATTTTGACCCCAGGGCTTTTATTTGAACAAACTTGGTACACACTCATTAGAAAATGTTTCATGCTGAATATCTTAGCTCTAGCTCTTTGGGTTCTTTAAAAGAAGAATTTTTAAGTTTTTACTATATGCATATAGGGAAAATCAATGACCCCCTGGGGCGGCCAATTTTGACCCCAGGGCTTTTATTTGAACAAACTTGGTACACACTCATTAGAAAATGTTTCATGTTGAATATCTTAGCTCTAGCTCTTTGGGTTCTTTAAAAGAAGAATTTTTAAGTTTTTACTATTTGCATATAGGGAAAATCAATGACCCCCTGGGGCGGGGCCAATTTTGACCCCAGGGCTTTTATTTGAACAAACTTGGTACACACTCATTAGAAGATGTTTCATGCTGAATATCTTAGCTCTAGCTCTTTGGGTTCTTTAAAAGAAGAATTTTTAAGTTTTTACTATATGCATATAGGGAAAATCAATGACCCCCTGGGGCGGGGCCAATTTTGAACCCAGGGATTTTTTTGAACAAACTTGGTAGACACTCACTAGAAGATGTTCCATGCCAAATATCTAAGCTCTAGCTCTTAGGGTTTTTTAAAAGAAGATATTTAAAGTTTTTTCTTTCGGTTGCCATGGCAACCAGAGTTCTGCATGGAATTAAATTCTTTGAACAATTTTTAAAGGTGACCACCAAAGGAACATTCCTGTGAAGTTTGGATGAAATTGGCTTAGTGGTTTATGAGGAGATGTCATTTAAAGTAAAAGTTTACGGACGGACGACGGACGGACGCCGGACGAAAAGCGATCACAAAAGCTCACCCTGTCACTTTGTGACAGGTGAGCTAACAAGCTGACGTTATTTCATACATACAAGAATGATAAATGGGGCACTGATGTAAACACAATACGACGTAAGTTTTTATTGTTGAAAACTTGATAAAATATTGTTTTTTTTCTATTATTTCTTTTGTTTAATAATTTCTATATCTTCGCAACAGTAGGGTGCGAAAATCGAACAGCGTTCAGTGTTTTTTTTCTTTATATAACTACTACCCTAAAACGGTACTGTTCCCAATAGAAAATAGACATTAAAATTCCCAATTTCCAATGTTTAAATTCCCAAAATGGCTGTTCAAAATAACCACAAGCCCTAGTGATTTCTCTGAAATCATTTAAATCCAACATATTCATATAAATCACCACTCAATAGTTCTCCCTGGACAGTGGAAGCTGTTAGCTATCTATATTCATGATGACTTATCTTATTTCTACCTGAAAAAATGCTTTTAAAAAATCCCAATTTAAGTCAAAATAACGCATTTTTTCCCAATCAGTCTGGTACTGGCACCATTCCCAAAGTATAGAAAAAATACACTGGCGTTATACGAAAAACGGCACAGGAAGTTATTTCCGCTTGAAAAATAACACTAGTGATTTTCCTTATTTTATTGTGTTAGAATCGAAATAACATCGGCCGGAGAGGTGTATATCGGCTACGGCCTTCGTACGGCCTTCATGGTTAATTCCTACGCATCAAAACTCCAAACCGGTGTTAAATAGCCAATATACACCTCTCATCTTAATTGAATTAGTCTGTAAGTGATTTTTATCAAGAAAATTTGCGTTACAATCTTTTTCCGGATATTCAAAATTAGCGCTTAAACAAATAAAGTTGGAGATAATTTTTCACTTTCTATAAACGCTTTTAATATTAGTAAATATGTTTTGTTGTTTGTTGTTTTATTTTTTAGTTCTTTATGGATAATATTAATTAATTAATTGATATTATTCAAAACCCCGTTTATAAAATAACGCTGGTCAGGGGAAGTAATTGTTGCGGTCCCTGATTTTGTTTGTTGTCTATGATTATCGTTCGTGCAAATGGGGGCGCTGTTTCGAAATTTGAAAAACAACACGATTCGGCAATTTATTTGGATTTCGGAGGTATTACTATAATGTTTTACTTTAGTTTACTGATTATTTTCTATAATATTATTATTTATTCTTAAAATTCTACTTTAATTTATTCTACGAAATAAATGAGAGATGAAAACACATGATTGAGTTGATTTGACACGTTTTCGCGACCTAATTGAATGATTTGGGTTCGGTAGGCCTTGTAAACACGAAGTTATTGAGTTCTTTGGCAATTTATGATTTAACAAATCTTGTCTTTCTTTAATTTATTTTTCATATTAAACATTTTTCTGTACTATATCCTAATTAAAATTTAATCAATTATAAAATTGAAACCCATATAGTAGTTCGGCCCACATAATTTACGTCCCAAGACGATTCGTCAATATAACTATGTTTATATTTTAGTGATAGTATAATACAGTGTTAATTAGTTTGAAAAAAAAATTACATTATTATGAAGTTAAATAACAAAGTTGGGTGTTAAACTTTAAAGTTTAATAGTCGTAAATTTATTGGGAATAATAAATCTATTTCTATATTATTTTATATTCTAGATCCTGGTCCCGGCTGAAATTTAGAGTATTGGCACTATTGCAGCTGTAGCCTGTAAACCATACATTCAACATGAAAAGGACTGTCAGGTTTGTTAAATTGAAATTAATTCTTATTAATTTATATATTTGAATTTCTTTACAATACAAAGTATAATTTTTTCAACTAGTCGATATTTATCTTGTCTTAAAATATATTATTTTCAGAATATTCCTGTAACATTATTAACATAAAATTTACATGTTTGTTGATTTCAGGATGCTGCATAAAATGGTCTTAGCTAGAGCCTAGAATGATAATTTCTTGGTAATATGCTGCAAGTAAATGACATGGAGCAGTTTTTCTTACCAATCATTCACGAATTCGAAAACCTAGCTAAACGCCATTTTCCGGTACATTCTGTACATAGCTCTGGGGAATTCACGTAATGGAGTGTAATAGCGAACTCGTTGTTTTCGGCCTTTTTTTTAAATTAAATTGAAATAAAACAGTTATTTCTTTATTAAAAAATAATTGAATATCATTGTATGAATAATTCCATACAAAAAATAAAGTAAATACAAAGTTTACGCAGAAAATAACCTTATTTATTATGGAAGATTCCACTACGTCTGTTTAAATTTTATCGATTTTCATTATAAACAATTTATTTTTTACAAAAATTTGCATTAGATATTAAAGGAATATTGATAATTTTCAAAATCATTAAATTTTTTAACCTTAAACGGTAAAATAATGATAGTAAAATAGAAATATCATGTAACTGTGTTATGTACTTCATTTGGTGTAATTCCCCAGAGCTAAATCCGCAACGTACCGGAAAACGGTGTTTAGCTAGGTTTTCGAAAAGGTCAATAGGTGAGTATTTTAAATAGCTTCTTTTTTTAAAAAGATTTTGTTGTTTTATGTACAGAATTTGCTGTCAATATATGAAACTTAGCTATGTTTCAATTTCTATGCTGTTTTATGATGTAAATCTTAGAGATAAGCATTTTAAGATAAAAACAAATCACCAAGTTGAGTAATTATATGTATAATTTTTAGATTGACCAAGTCACTTTTAACTACAAACTTCTTATTTTTATTTGAAGAAGCGGTAAGAAACAGCCAAAGAAGTACTCAAAAACTTGACATACCCAGAAAGATCTAGAAGAAAAGATTGGAACAGATTGTAGCTTAATTGTTAAACTATTAAAGTGAATTTAAGCTGCACTTAAACTGTATTTTTGAAATAAAATATCTGAAGTATTTAATATTGTCTTGATATTTTGTTAAATATGGTTACTTTGCTTTATATCCAAACAATAAAGTATGACCAATGGGTTTTCAATGTTGAAATGACATTGAAACTTCAACGTTGTAACGTTGAAGCTGCAACGTTGTATCAACGTTGAAATTTCAACGTTGTTTCAACTTTCAAATCCGAATATAAATCCAACCTTATTTCAACTATGAAATCTAACCATAATTCAACATTGAAACAAAGTTGATGTGCCTGCTGGGTATATTCATGAATATTCATTGCTGAATTTATTTAACTCCTCAAATAAGATAATAGATCTATCATGCTAGCACAATAGATCTATAATTTTATTCAACTTGTTCAATAAATTCAACTTGTTCAGTATCCTTTAGAAAAAAAGTTAAATAAATCTATTTTATCTGATACATGCTCAAGTGGCAATGAAAACAACAGGATGTTGCATATCAATATGAACAATAAACAACCAAAAATTTACTTTTATTTCACAACATGCATTGTCAGCATTGTTTCTATGCTTTGTAAACAGATATCAACAAAACGTAAACATTGAAAATCTGGCAACTGATTACAAGTTTTCTTTGGCGGTTTAAGAAGCAAATTATATTTTTTATGCTATATTACCACAGGGTAAAAACAATGTATTATATCAAAAGACGTTTTTGCGTGCATTTTGTGTTTTCACATGCGTTACGTCATTCATTCATGATTCAAAATCAAAACAAAAACAAACCTCCGACCAGACGAAATTTTGTATTAGAAATCAATGAGATAAAATATCAATCGACTTGAAAGTCACAACGAATAGATAAAACTATATACTATAATTCTTCACATACACTACGAAATGCTGTCTTGACGTCATTTGTTCCTAACAGATTAAAATTAGAACTTCTGTTTACCGCAACCACCGCCATCAAAAGAACATTTTCTCGTATGCTAAACAGCTGTTCGAAAACCTCGTTTTGAGATCGAGATTAAGATAAACGGAACGCGGAGTGACCCAATTGCAAATTTCCGATAATTTCCGCCAAACTTCGTAACATATGAGCCTATAGATACTTAAACCCATTTACCACCTCACAGAACAAGGGCCCCATTTGGTAGGCCTATGGGCCAATGAACAGTTATAGAACTTTATGCTTGTACATTAAAATGACATTGTCTCAAAAAGGCAAGTTAAGCACCACAGCAAAAATAAAACTAGCATTGTTAGCTGTGTTACTTGCACGAGATTTTAATATCATTTAAATTAAATGGGCATAAAAAGATCGGAAATTTATGAACTTAATTAGATCTACTCAAAATCTTTTCTATTCTGTGCATAAACATTATAACAGCGGCAAACCTCTTACAATAATATGGCCCCTATGTAATTAACTCGTTCTGGATGCCCAATTTAAGCACAATTGATAACAGACTGGGGTCAGTACGTTTTCTTAATTTGCAGTGGCTCTGACCCCCATACCTGTGTCCAAGACCCCGTGCGCCTTATGACCCTGCCTGTTAACTTCTCGCTTACATCAATTCGACCTCCCACAAAACATCAATTTCAACGTCCGACTTTTTGCTGACGTTTGACATCTGCAAACCATGCAACCAGTCCCCCCCCCCCCCCCAAAAAAACAACAAAAAACAAAAAACAAACAAACAGAAAAAACATGACCTAAATCTTTTCTTAAAGTCGGGATTGGTGGATAAGGTATTCAACCGGTAAAATTGAACAAGCCAAGTTATCAAGTTATTTACGTCACATAAAGAAATCCCAAAACAACGTTTACTGCGCTTTCATATTGAGTCCAACATTTTAAGATTCGGTTAGGGAGTCTGCCTTAATTACATATCTCAGATCATACCCTTACTCGTGATGCATACATGACTGTATGCATACATTTATGTATTAGACAGTAAATTAAACATGTGAAATCAAAACTAGCTTACCAGACGGCAGTCAGACCCAAGATTAAATACGGTTCTGAAGTATGGTCTCCTGCACCAAAACACAAATAAATCAAATCGAAAATGCCCCCAAAAAGCAGCGCTTTGGAGCAGGTAGATTATGGTTAGACATATACCTATAAACTAAATCTCTGACGACACATTTATAAACAAGAACTATGTTAGGTTAGCGCTTTTTCTACAAGATTCGCTATGGTGTGAATGCTATCCACATCGAGAAATCCTTGACCCCACCGCCTCTCCCCCAAACATCACGCCATGGCCATTCCCTGAGCTAGCTAGTTTATTTAATTTACAGCAACTTCAGAGTTTTTAAAATTACCTTTCTTTTCTAGGATTGTCTTATATTGGAACCACTTACCCGCCTCAGTTGCCCTTTCACTACCTCAGATCAGAGCATCCACATTTAACATTGATCATGTCTCACCGCAGCTCCTCCAATTTTAATATTTTTCAGTCATTTCGCCTTTCATTAAAACTCGGATTTTCATTAAGTTCCGTGATTAAAGGAACAATCTTTAATGAAAAAAAAAATCAAAAAAATTCAAAGCAACAATTTTTCTTCAAAATTATGTGTAAGGCCATGTTTTAAAATTTGGGTAATTTCAGGTATTTTCATCATTTTCTGTTATTGAAAAGAAAAATCTACAAAACAACAATTTTTCTTCAAAATTATATTGTAAGGCCATGTTTAAACATGGAAAAAGGCGATTTTGGGTAATTTCATGTATTTTCATCATTTTCTGTTAATTAACCCAATACCAGATATATACGCCTTTCTACGCCTTTCCCACCCCTTTTTGTTGTCTCAAATGGTTAAAAATGCCTTATTTAGGCCCTGACACTTGTTTTTGTTTGAGAAATGTTGTTTAAAAAAAGTGACCACTTTTTCGGCGCCCCCCCCCCCCCCCCAAGAAATACATCAGGGGGTTGCCAGAAGGGGGATGTGCCCCCTTCTGTTTGGGGGTTTGAAGGGGGCGGCAGCCCCGCTCATCGCCAACGTTAAAAATGACCCCCAGGTCGAGCATAAGGTAACGTGAAACCAACGCTGAAAAGCCTTTGACTCTATCTCAATCCATTAAGAAGTTGCAGCATTTGATGGAAAAAATCAACGTTTTATTTTTGTCCAGAACATAACTTTTTAATATCAACCTCAAACTGTATAGCTTGATAGATTTATAGAGGAGCAATGAAATGCACATGTATGATAACTCTTTACATTATTTAATCATTTTATTGCCCTTTGTTTCCTTTTTTGCATAGTTTTTGTCAAGGGATGCAGTTGCCAAGAACGTTAATTCTCCACATGATAGTTTTAAAGTTAATACAATTTGTTATTTTATGCTTCATTTTTCCGGGCTATAGCTCAAATTGCTTAAAAGATGCAATCTTGAAACTTCATAGGTGAATAGCTCTCGAATACCAGCTCTGTACGTTTTGAGTTATTGCCCCTTGCTGGGTATTTAAAAATTGACTACTTTTCTCCTATTTGGCAGGGAATTGGGCAGTCTACGAGTGCTTCCTGTTATATTTATTTTATTAAGGGAATGCAACAGCGGGTTTTCGACCTGACATGACTCCGAGATGTAGGTCTAGACCAATTACTTGTGTGCACACTTTCAGATCATTCGCATACTCATGAAAAAATGCAACGCTATTTTCAGAAATCGGGATAAGATAAAAAAAATCGATTTTCAAAACGATTTTAAATTTTATTTACTGAGTATATTTCTTAGTTATCTTTTGCATTAGCAGCATAGTTTTTGTTTTAAGTGCCCCAGCTGATCTATGTAAGATATTCAAACTTTATATTTTATGCTCTTTGACCTCAGTGAGTTCCTTTTATTATAGACTCCCGTCATAATCGGTAATCGTTTGTTGGATTGCACCATGCGCATGTGCATGACATTAACATATTTATAAAGGTGATGGAAGCAAATCATGTCTTGTTTTATTGAAAACTGTCGTTTTTTTCAAACAGGACGACAGCTCAACACATAGCCATGCTTCGCTAAAGCATTAACGTTATGTCCTAAACAATTAAATCTGATTTTTTGAACCTTTAAGTACATATACAGACCTTTATCTCTGTGTATATGACACCAATGTTCTTATCTGTATTTTAAACGACTGAACTTTGTCTTTTAAAGATTTTCTTTTGCATTTAAAATGTTCATGTTCATAATATTGATATTATTTTTTCAAACTGTTGGTACGTATAGTTTGATGCATCACATCATCCATACTATTTCTATCATCACTATTGTCGTGTTATCATTATCATATTTCTTGTTTTTCATTTGTTTGTTTGTTTGTTGTTTTGTTGGTGTTTTTTGTGTGTCAAAACTGCCGTTTATAACAAAATTTCTTTTACAGCCACAGCCTGTCCAAATGGATGGGTGGGTCACAATGGATCCTGTTTCCTCTTCAGTCATGACCGGGAAGACTGGACAGGGGCATATGTAAGCATATCTAAGATAACCTACTAGGTACCGTGAGTTTTGAGCTCTGTGATAGTTAAGCGTTTTGTTTCTCTAAAGTATACTTCACAAGTACATGTATATACATGTATTTCAATTAAGCTTAATCTTGAAATAGTTTTTATTATAATATCGTACACAGCATGATCCTTTAGAGCAAAGAAATTTGATATAATCGTGTTTATTGTACAAGGAGAATGATTAAATGAATTTCAGACAAAGATATTGTTGAATTTCAATCGTTAAAGGTGTCCTTCGAACAAAATCAGACATAAATTAGCAATACGATATATGAATCGTATGCACGTTAGAATATCCATTTGCAGGAAATGTGCCGGATCATGAAAGCGCAGCTTGTCGAGATTCATAGTTCCATTGAAAACGACTTCCTGCATGAGCAGACGAAATCTTCAGGCAGTAGGTTACTTATATGAGCCTTGTCATGACAAAACCAACATAGTGCGTTTGCGACCAGCATGGATCCAGACCAGCCTGCGCATCCGCGCAGTCTGATCAGGATCCATGCTGTTCGCTATCAGTTTCTCTACTTGTTATTTGGGCGAACAGCGTGGATCCTGATCAGACTGCGCGGATGCGCAGGCTGGTCTGGATCCATGCTGGTCGCAAATGTACTATGTTTGTTTTGTCGTGACGCGGCTCATATATTATGGGGTTATTATACATTGTACTGAGTGCACTAGAATCAGTATCGTTCTCAATAATGTACACAATGACCTCTTTATTTCACTTTTTTACTTTTTGACAGAACAGATTAAATCAAGTTCAATAAGGCATTGATATAAATTTTTGACCAATGAGGCTACATGAGTTGTGATATACATTTGATATGGATGTTTTGGACTATGGAAATGGAAACGAGGCTAAATTGATAAGATTGGATCCGATATAATGATTTCTGTTGGTACATCACGTGGTTCTAACGCAGCCGAAAGTTCATTGGTTATATTTTAAAAGGTGTGCATTGACAAAGACTAAAAGAGTAGAATATGCATCTCTTCATATATGTGTATGTGTCTTAACCTTGCTTTCGTAAGATAATAAAATATTGATTTCTATTTATAAACATTAAATTTCCATGCTGATTGTTTGCCATTTCCCTTTTTTACATAAATAAAACTTCATATCCTTGTCAACTTATATGATGAAGGATTTTATTCCCTATCAAAATTCATATAGGTAATAATTTTATCGCTTGTCAAACTTAACAAATTTTATTTCCCTTTTATACTATTTCAATTGAGAATACATAGAAAATCGGTTTCCTATTAACATGCATCCATTAAGGGAACTCCATTGAGGTCCAAAATAATAAAAAAACAACTTTTTTCTCTCTATTTCTTACATAGATAAACATTGACACTTAAAACAGAAATATATGCACAAGATAATTAAAAAAATACTCAGAAATAAATTGAAAATCGTATTTTTGTGCTATTCTTACCTGATTTGAGTTAAAACCGTTTCAATGTTTTTCAATATTGGATCATTTTTCACAATTTAGAAAATTATTCTGGATAACAGTGAGAGCTAATGATCTGAAATTTTGCATACAAGTTAATATCAAATGAAACTTTAGTCTCAAGAAATTATTTTCCAGTTAAAAAACCTTAGTGGAGTCCCTTTAAACTATTTAAACGATAAACACGGATTTTGTTTCAGAAAATCATTGGATTTCTCTAAGTGATGTAAGTGAAGAAGGTAGTTGGACCTGGATGACAAGTTTAACCACTGTCGGTGACTATATGAACTGGTATCCTAACGAACCAAGCACGACTAATTCTCTCAATGAGCCCGAAAACTGCGCTGTTCTATATACATCAGGACAATGGAATGATGCTGTGTGCTCGGAACAGAACTACTATATATGCGAAATCATAAAAGAGTGAGCTATTTTAATTTATTTGCAGATGAAGTCATTAGTATTATCATCATCATACATAGAACGTCGTCGTATTCGTCCTCCTCCTCCTCCTCATCATCATATCACCATCATCATCATTATCTTCTTCTTCTTCATCATCTTCATCATCATCATTTTCATCATCATCACTTACGTCATTTAATGTCTTTTTTACATATAAACTACGAATTTTATTGTTCATATTTTTGGAACAGTATCAAAGAAAGATTTATATATGTATATAAAAGTATACCTCAGACTATACGGTTTTGTGTTAGACAAAATATATCCTTTACATATGACCTGTCTTGCTGATGTAAATATAGTATGTGCTTTAACTATCATTAATTTTCATTTGTGTTTACTTCCAGCGAGGGTCAAATCATTGGGTAAAGGAACCTCACAACAGGAACATAAACAATAATTCATATTATTACCTGTAAATTCGAACGAAAATAAATATAAGTATATTTATTTGTATTTGTTTTAATTGAACACACAGAATCTATCATCTCCATATCAGAAATTCTTATATAGCACTTCAATGATATTTTAATCATTTGTGTCTTTTGCAAGATCAAATGCTTCTAAAGTTTGATAAGACTGACGACCCTGTAGATTTGTAAGCGATTCTGTACCAAACTTGTTACTCTCTCGTTTTATTTTTTTTAAACAATATGTCCATACAGTAAAGCGTAACCCATTTCGAACGAAACTCTCGCGGACAGCCTTCAATTCAAGTGTTTATCCAAATATCCTCGCTGTTGCAAATTTAAAATGTCTTAAATTACGCATATCCTGATGATATAAAATTAAATCGTCTTCGTTTTTATATTGCACTATTCTGTGAAATGATACAAAACATTTGTCGCAAAAGAGTGAAATTTTCAGTCATATTTTGTAAAGTTCGAAGTATTATGTTGTAGTTAATGTATTAAGGAATTTTCATGTAACTTTATCCACATGGAGTAATGTTTTACTTTTACCGCGGTACAAGATAAACCGAGATGTATCCATGCAATTTGCATCAATTTACGTTTTGGAGATGTCTCCGATTGAGCCCGTTTTAGTAGCTAACTTCAAACCACTTGTCCCCCACCACTGTGGGCCCGAATCCCCACTAGTAAAACTGGAATGACGTCATATGACATTCACAGTGTTGATATACAGTAAAACCAAACCGTAAAAGTACGAAGGATCAGACATTGATCTTTATAATTTGTTTAAACCTTATATTTGCAGATGTTTTTTCTATTACACGTTTGGCATATACTTTATTTGGCTGACACCACTTGACATATCAAATGTGTCTGAGTAAGCTTGATCCCATTTTCTCTAAAGCCAACTTTGTTTGTTTGTTTGTCTGTTTGTTTGTAGAGCCTGTTTGTCAAGGTGCTTACCGAACTACTAAACTTAATTTATATTTTCCAATCAGTGATCAGCTAATATCATGAATATTTCATACAATTATTAAGGATTTTATTCTTTTTTTACGATGAATGCAATAAAATAATGTATTGCCGCACTGATTAATACTCACTGTATTTACTATTATGCACATAAAACATTTTTAAAGTGTTTCTGTTTTCATAAAAAAAAAGAATAATGCCATTTCATCATACAGTTTTGTCAATGGACAAAAAGTCTTGAATTTACATTTTCCTATTTAGTTGAATATATCCTTATGCATATAGTCACAAAATTTCATATTAAGATTATAGTAAACTAGTCTCGATATCTATTTATTTTGGTCATAAACTTCAATGTAATGAATGAAAACAACATAGGTTTTGTCATCTTTATTTCAGTTATTAAACATCTATATTACGCAATGCAGTGGCTTACCACCTAGCTACAGTACATGAATGATTAAATGCCTAGCTGGAAGATAAAAAATAAGATATAGAGGATATTTGTTTAGTTCAGTGTACAAGATCCGAATATATTTCACCGAGTGAGCACCAAAAGGAATATTTCACGAGTGGCGCAGCCACGAGTGAAATATGAACTTTTGGTGTTCACATGGTGAAATATATTTCAATCTTACACTAAACTAAACAAATTTTCTTTTTATTACATGCAAAGAAACGTTTTAAAAAGACATTTAACCTAAACTTGAATGAAAAGCGCGCCAAATAATAATACAACGTGACGTCATTTACGACGTCACGTCATTAAGTTGGTACCCAGTACTGTGCACGCTGGTATTTCACTGAAACAACATAAGGGGCTTAAATTCAAAACAGTGAAATTATCAAAGTGGTAATTTCACTGTTTCAAACAGTGAAATTACCAGTTTTATATCACTGATTTATTTATATAAACCACCGAAAAGCATGTAATAAACAGTTGTATATAACATATGAGGGATGTTGCAAAAGTAATGTACCTTGCATTCGTTCTTTATAACAGCGATTTCTTCTGAATATTTTGACGCATTGTCCTTCAAAATGCCCTCCTTAATCTATCTAAATACATGCACACCTTTTCAGTAGGTCAATCCACTTTTGGAAGCAGTTTGCGTCTTTTCAGTGATACTGATAAACTGGAGATATAAGGGCATTTTCGAAACGTCTCTCTCAGTCATTGAATTTAGCACTGGCCCAGTGGCCCATGGCCAGTGAAAATTAGTTCGGGCCAGTGTAAATTTTAAGAAAATGTAGTTAAATATATAGTAGAATAAATTCAAAACTGGAATTCGGGCCAGTGAATTCAAAATCTTAAATTCAATGACTGCTCTCTTTCCAAATGGATGAAAAGAGAAAAAAACTGCAAAGAGGCCATGTCTGGCATAAAAAAGATAAGTTAAGGATAAAAAAGTAAAGTAAAGATCGTAAAAAACTTCAAGACTACAAAAACTCGGCGACAGCCTGTGCCTTGTGAGCAGGCTTACACTATCATGCAATTAAGAAGTCCTATTATTGGGAGTGGGATTTGTAGTGTTTTAACATAATACTAGTAGATAGGCTTTTATGAAAACAAATTATCTTATAATCATTGATTTTTCTCATTTTAACGAAGAATGTACGAAGAAACAACAATCTCTAATGAACTGACTAACTATGAGTAGTGAAATGTGGAAATAACAAAGCATTATATTGTTTGAGTCAACCTGTTCTTGTCATGCAGCAGTGCTTAATGCTAGCTACTGTTCACAATCGCAAGCAGAGTTCAACATCTAAGGAGGCAAATGGTCTTCTTCAGGAATTTAGACTAACATCTGCAGATGTACAATAGTACATAGTATATACAATAGTGACACATTATAACACTATTGATAACAAGTTTGATATAAATGAAATGTATACTCCATCTCTTATCATAGCTTATCTTTCATGGAATCTACTGCCAGCAAGGTGGACAGTACACCAATTCTCATTTGACGCAATGTTTAAAGTTATTATATTGATTCTAACAGTTGGGACTGTAAAAGCTGGTATTCTTTTAACTTCTAAAACTTATTTATTGATAGAAACTTTCTTGATATGCGTTATCGTAGCTTTCAAAACGGTTTTTTTGTAATTGCATTTCGGTGTAAATTTTTTATGATTATAACCTTTAAAAAATACTTTGTCATTTCACGATCCAACGTTTCTTGCTAGCATTTAAAAAAAAATCCCATTTTCATTCAATCACCTCATGACTATTGAATTTTACAATTTTCCCTGCACCCTTAGCCAGTTGCTAACCATGTTACAGCACAGTAATCTGACCATCGTTGGAGAGGTCATGCAAGCCATTTCATATGGAAAACTTGTTCCGGTTAGGTGGTTTCCTGCTTACATCTGTTGGTGCATGATTAAACGGGAAACCAGCCGCAATCGTGCCAATCGCAACTTTTCGGCCTTTTCCGTCACTCTTCGGATTAATGATAATAGCCGATGTAGACTAGTTCCAATTGCAATCGTGACAATTTGGGCGATTCCGTCATACTGCGGAATCAGACGAAGTAATATTACGGAAATCTAAGCTATTTTAGTTACTTCGGTAATCCCAGTTTGTTTATTATAAATAGGATTTCTATTTTTACTTGATTGATCGGTTTAAACCGTAATAAATTATAAACGACATTGTTCCGTTTCAATTGTTTTCAAGACGCAAAAGTTTGTTTCTTTTAATTGTTGGCGACCGCGCCGAAGCGCGGCGCCTTAAGTAATGAAATCAGATTTTGTGAAAGGGCGACAGCAACTTCTCGAGCCTTTTATAGTTGTTCATAATAATAGCCGATCATTCCGATTGGTATGAGGGTGCTTGATTATTAATTAGTCGCGATTTGTACAATGAATAGCGAACTGGAGAATTTCGCAATGCAAACATTTTCAAATTAGAATCTAAATAACCTTTTCCGTCAATAAATCAGGGTATTTCTATTTATCATTTTGTAGTACACAGTGGATTATTATGGTATGTTATTCCGAAAGCTGTAAATAGAATGATGAGTTGATGACCTAAATATTCCGAAAATCTATTTATAGATGGATGTACTCCTGTCGGTAAATCCCGGTCTCTCCTGGTCTATTTTGACGACCGGCGAATAGTACCACACGTTTATTGTCCGGTCTCTCCCGGTTTTGGAGTAGATGTTTGATATCGTAACAGAACAGAACAAATATTTTTACAGATAAACACGGAATTATTAATAAAAATCCGTGAGATAAATAAGCTTTTTTTTCAAAATGAATGTTTGTCACTTAGTTTGGTTACAATAATTAAGAAACACAGACCAACTCTCAAAATTATCGATTATTATTATAGATAATTAAACATACAATTCGAAAAAAAAACCAACAACACACATCGCATGTTTTATTTTATCTATATGAGATAAATCAATAAATATGTACAATAATTGAGAAAAAATGTACATTTTTATGGCATTAATATGACACTATCAACTTTGAAACATTTTATTTAATTTGTTATTCGTGTTTAGTAAAGATGCCGAGGAATTGTTCAAAGTTACAAATCAGATTTTATGAATTATTCAATTGATCGATAATTTAAGAAATGATAAAGAAAAATACAAATGTACATGTATATGGTTTAAGAATAAACAATATTATTCAGTCTATTTCAAATAAATTATGTCATATGGAAAAGAAATTAGAAACACTAACAGTTTTGGAAAAGAAAGTTGATACTTTTGAAAAGGATCTAAACAAGCTTTGGACAAAAATGAATGAAACTCAGAAAATTGTAACAGAGAGGGTGAGTGCTATTGAGTCCAATGTTGAAAATTTAGAATTCACTGATGGTAAGCAACAATCCGAATTAGATCAACTATCGAAAACAAATTCTGAAATGCGTAACGAGCTAACTTATCTTCAATCTCAGAGTATGCGCAACAATATCATTTTTGGTGGGATTGAGGAATCTCAGAACGAACGGCCGCATGACACTGAGTTCAAAATTCGAAACTTCATGGTTGAGAAGCTGAAGTTAGCACAGGACTTGGTAAATTCAATTGTTATAAA